GACCTCCAAGAGGTCTGTAGGCCAAGTCTCGCCCCTTGACACATGGCACTCCAAGACCCACACCTCCGCCAGCTGTTGCTTCTGCCGAGCCTGCCGCAGCCGGTGGGAGAAACCGAGGGAAAGCGAATGCGAGGAGAAGCCACGGTTGTTTTTTCTTGGATGTGGTTGGACGGCTCTACCAACAATCTGGGATTTGAGTAAGAATAAGTAATTGAGTAGTTTACATACTTGAAGGGGCAGCAGGGAGTACCCTTCCAAGGTAATCCCGAGTACCTATTAAAACACGGACCCCTATTAAAAAAAGGTCATGCCGGATCCCCCTAAATTCGGTTTATATTTGGTTTTAAATTACCGCCCTTTCAAACCGCTACTAAACTACCAACATGGTCGATTTTGGGGGTAGTTGTTTTATTAGGTTCCCCAAAACTCCCTCAAAATGGGTCCCAATACACCCTCAAAATCGACCATGTTGCGTTGCAGACTCTCCGCTGGCTCTCCTAGTAGCGATGCCAGGAGCCCCTAGTAGGGGCCTTGCTCCTAGTAGCGATGCTAGGAGTCCCTAGTAGCGTCCTTGCTCCTAGCAATTACTGCACCTGCCACGAATTCTGCACTTCAAGGTCCACAAAATATTGCACGTCCACTGACCCTATTTTGGGCCCCGCGATTTCAGGGACCCCCTATTAGAAAAAATGCGACTGAGGTTGCCTTATTAGGGGGGGGGCCCGTGTTTTTTATTAGGTGGACCGGATTATTCTTGTGCCCACACAAAGGCTTTTGAACGATCAACCAAGTACCAAGCCTTATGGATCCACATATCGTCTGAGAAGGTGATTGGAGATGATTGGAGACTATGTGTATTTTTGAAGGGCCCAAGTACCTTCTGAGAAGGTGGCAGTGGATCCGGGAAGGGATGTGGTGAGCCCCCAAGATCCGGGCATCCGGGCATCCAAAGCGATCCCCTCAAGATCAGATCGCGGCAGGGCTATAAGGAACTCAACCTCCCCCGCCAGTCCGGTAGGTTGACCTCCCTTATCTCGAGGAATCTGCCAAACAGGCCTAAAAACATGATTTCGGACACTCCATCGCACGGGTCTAAACCATCAGAAGCCTTTTTCCGTGGGCGGGCCGGGATGTATAGCGATGTGGTCCAAAAAGTGTTCGGGCAACTCTTACAAGCGGTAATCAGTAATTACCAGGACCTTCCAAGTCCGGTGGCTTTTTTGGACACCTCTGCACCTCTCAGAGGCTATTTATAGAGGACCTCGATGTGTGAGGTCCTGGTAAATCAAGTTGTTTGGATTTGCTTGCCCTGTTAATCTAGCCTTGTTCGACTCCATGGCTTGGTACCGTTGTTCGACTCCATCCGCACCTCCCGATCGCTGGCCGCCGTGGTCGCCAGGCTGTCGGGACGTACCTCGGAGGACCTGACCGGTGAGGCTGAGCGGGCCCGTACGTGGCGGTTGACTCACTTGACTCACTTGGTCCGACTCGTTGGACTTGACTCACTTGGTCGACTCAGTTGGACTTGTTGAGTCAAACCTCGAGGAAGTAGACTTCGTTCTCCCAATCCAACATAAAGGCCCGTTGGATTGGTCGGTTGGTCGCCTACACGCAGGCTTCCCTTCCAAGCCGGGTAAATGCTGATAGTCATATTGGTTAACAGATGTTAACAGTCAACATGAACTTATTTGGAGCACATGCTTCCTTTTGTATGCTGCTTCATAGCTTCGCACTCCAAGTTGGATTTGCATGGATTTGGATTGGACATTGGACCAAACGATGTCTCCATAGCTATTGATATATAGATAACATTTGCTGCCGAGTTGAAGGTCTAGATTGAAACCTCTCAACTGACGTATTCCCAGTTTTATGGAAAGGCTATATATATACAGCAAAGTATACAGCAATTCATTAATAATCTTACTCATTACTAATCACATGATAATCAAGATAACTATGGGATGTAACAGATCCCCCAGCGCGCCAAGACAGAAAGACCCCAGTTCCGTGCCAACTGGCAGAGCGCCACTGCGCAACTGGACTTGGCTTCTCGGCATGGCCGTCAATCGCGGTGAGCTGCCGCTGCCCGAAGCCTCCTTTCAGGCAAGGGATGTGGTGCTCAAGCTATTCATATATATATCCTTTCCAAAGCAAACCACTCTTTGTTTCTACTAGCGAGGGCCTCCACCTTAGTAGCGATGGCCTCCAACCTACGAGCGATGGCCTCCAACCTAAAAGCTTTCAGTCCGATTCACAAGCTTACCTTAGACTTTTGCTCCACTGCCCTCTGCAATTTTTGGACCGTCAAGACATCCACAATTTCTTCTCTTAGTCATGAGGTGAATTTGTGTGGGATTGGAGTCTTGTAGGATTCCGTGGAGTCTTATCTGCTCGTTCCTCGGACCATGGCTCCCCAAATGGTACAACTGTTGAAGTCGTCCCGCTCGTTCCTTTGAAACATCGCTACGAAGCGAAGTTCGGCTGTGTTCCTCAGCCTGCCTCGTGTACGCGTCCACACTCGGTACGAACGAGACAACTCGGACGGCACCGGGCCTGAAAGACGGTCATGGCGTGGCTCGGGCCCCTCAGTCGGACGGGACGTCCGGAGAGGACGGAGGTAGTAGCGGGGTGGATGGGGGCATGGCCACTCCGAAGTCACTATTTAGGTGACGTGGATGGCATGGCCACTTGGAAGACCATTGTCCAAATACCAAACAGGGGGGTGCCATCCACCTAACCATGTTGGTTCCAGGGAGAGTCACATTTCTCACCACAAAGCCTCAGCTTGGAGGGACCATCAAAGGCGTTTCAATTTTTCCCATGCAGCGTTGGGGAGAGAATCGGTCTTTCGGTATTTTTTGGGGGAAGTGCCATCCACCTAGATGACTGCGTTCGTTTCAGAGAAAAAATGGGACGTCTGACCCTATAACAAAGATTGGTATACCAGGAGTTTCATGTCGGGGTGCTATCCGAACATCCACTCGCTGGATGGGACGAGGCACGCCACCCCGGACATGTGACCCCTCTTAATGGTATACTATTAGACAAAATCTACTTGCACTATCCTCAGGGGGTTCGTGGGGGTTCTAGATTCAGTAGCCTCAAGATGCCTCAAGAAGTGTGTAGTTGAAGTAAAAAAGCTGCCTGAACAGCCTGAACAGGACCGAAAGCATCGGAGGTACCAGTTAGTCTTGCTTTTGAAGGTGGGCGGGCTCCATTTTGGGTTGAACCAACTGAAAGGACTTTTCAGCCAAATACTGGCAGCGTGTGGCTGTTGAAACTATCCTCATGTTGGAACCAAATTGCCCTGCGGAGAAATGATGTGATGCAACAAGTCAATGCTTGCAAGAACAAAGCAAACCTGGAGAGGAACTTTTGGTTCCCCTTGCAGGGGATGAGATTTCCTGGGATTAAATAAGGTGAGATATTATTGTGAAGTTCAAGTAATTTGTAATTACATTATTCGGGGTCCTATGTTATGGGACGAAGAATTACAGTATACAGTATGATCATCATGTAGGCCCTAATCCTCCTCTTTGAGAACCTCTCTAGACTCAAATAAGCAGATCTGCCGCCAACTGTTGCTCTTTTTCACGCACAGTGATCAAACAATGTCGCGGCTGGCTGGCTGTTCAGGGCATCCATTTGCTGTGAAGTCCTAGGAGAGTAAAGGTTTTGCTTCCTCGAACTGTTCAGCCCAAGGCCCAAACCAACTCCAACCTTCCCAGGAACCAGAATGGCCAGGCCATTCGGGCAATGTTGACCAACCATAAAACCTTGGTGCTAATTACTAAACATATCTAAACATTGAAAGTTCAACTCAACTCCTTGACAAATTCAACATGGAGTTCTGGTCAGCTGGAATGCATCAAATCCCCAAAATATGTCTTGAGTCTGCAGAAAAAGATAAAATATTGATTATTGATTTCATGTATAATTCCATTATGAAATATCATGAACCATGAAGAGACCAAGCTTTGTTTTACATCGTGAATATCAAGCATGAATCTTGCTGTTGATCAAACAACTCTCTGCTTTCGTCCGGAGCATCCAAAAACCCGGCATCGGTTTCCCCATGGCCGTGGATGAGGTCGTTCGAACAACCCAGTCCACGCCGCGAAGAAGACGTGTCGGTAATGAGGTGAAGCGGCATCTGGTATCTTGGTGCCCACATCCGTATTTCGGGTCGTTTTTTCTTGGATCGCTTTACAAAGCCTTTATGGATCACAGCTGTATGGATGCATTCACCTGCTTTCCTCACCAGTCGGCCCACAGGGCATTGAGCGCCTCACGCACCGCGAGCGGCACGGCGTGTTGGGACGTGCGAGGCAGAAGAATGTCTTCGCTCCCATGAAACGTGTGGGTCAAAAGATGGTGTGCTGGTGACACGGAACGGAACGGTTCCACTTGCCGGTGACACGACCGGCACGTTCGAGCGGACCAAACGACCTAGGCCTTCACCGGTCCGGAGCCTCCAGGTCAAGTGGGACCGTATGAATGAACATACGCACCTTCAAAGGGGTCACCAATGGAAGCATGAAATGGCCCGACCCATGCAAACGTTAATTACACAATCAAGGTGTCTTACTCAAACATGTATACCGCTCATTCCGAGGTACTTGGAAGGTCCTTGGTACGGCGATCTACGCCGCTGTACCGCTCTGTGCGACGAGCAGGTGACGACGGGACGGGCACCTCCTCGAGGGTCTTCGGCAACTCTCCACCCTTCAAACCTGCCAAAGACACGATCCAGGTAAACGATATCAGGACCCTTACAATACCCAGACACTCTGCCTACATTGGGGTGGTTTGGGGGGTCAATGTGTAGGCATATATGGCAGTCCCATGGAGTGTCTGGGATAGGAACATCACGTTCTTCCGAATGTCTCCATGCACGGGCGATTAAACAAATGGGCAGCTATCAAAAGGTGTGACTCCGTCCATTTCCCTGAAAATTAAGGCAATAACCATCTTCCATCTGTCTCTAGGGATCCAAATACCTGCTCAGAAGGTAGGCTTGGAGACATTGTGATCTAGGTTTGGAGGGTCCAATCGTACCGAACCTGAGGTTCGGTACGACAACCGGATCCCTAGGGCCCAAAACGGGTGTTGGACCAAAATCTCCTGGAGAACCTCGTGCTCCAAAGAGCTTAGATGTGCTCCACCCGTCTGGGTCGATGCCTTCGTCCAAAAATGACCGCTGTTGCAAGCCCAGTGGGTGACCGCTTTCTCCTGTATGTTTGAACTATTAAACCGTACGGTGTTTTACTACACATGACAGGTTTAAGAAGCCTCAAACCTTGCATCACGCAGCGAACGTGCGGGGCGAAAGGCAGCGAATCGGCGCCGCTTTGGGCCGGGACCGGCTCACTCGCCGGCTCGCTGGAGGAGTACAAGAGGGGAGATCGGAGCTCACCGGTACTGTGAGGTGAGGGAAGAGAGGACAAGAAGAGAGGGAAAACGGTAGCGATCTGCTCCAGGTCGATCTGCTCCGTAGCGTTCACCTCTACCGATGCATCGACCAACACATTGTGGGGATTCTCAAAGTCAGGGTCAGCCTAGCGCTGCCTTTTTCCGTAGTCTGGTGGTGGAGGCCCGCTTCAAAACTTAACCAATCTGAATGTATGTTGTCCATGCTAAGTTTCACTGGTGTTTTTTCAAGGCGGATATTGAAAGCAATCCATATTGGAATGGAGACTACCGTTGAAATCAACTGTTGAAACATGCTGAAACGACTCCTGGAGTGCGCAGCAGTATAGCACTTGGAGATCCAAATAGTCAGGCTGCCTTCCCGAAAAACCTTCCTTGAACAGTAGGATCTAATTTATATATGTTTGATGATTATTGATGACTTGTGATTTTTTTTTCCTATGACTTCATGACACCAAGTTTGTGCCTATATAGCCTGGCATGGAGTGACCTAAAGCCTGAACTCCCTGAGCCCCCAAAGCCACATGTGGGACGCCAGTCTGCAATAGGGACCCACATGTCTGCAAGACATGCTTCTGAAGTGGGTTCACATTGTTTGCATCTTCTTTCTTTCTGCTGCACGTCTTGCCGGATGAAACTTCTACCCAGCTGGCCTTGTCCTTCCAAGACCACTTCAGGATCTTGCCCTTGAGCATTGTGCCTGATGGGCAGATCAAAGGATGCGAGTCGCTGTGTTCTTCCCTTGTTCTATACCACACACAACTAGATCTTGGGGGCATCCAGGATTAAGACCACGCATCGGGCATTTTGACTGGCAAGTTACTACAATGTCATCCAAGACTCAGTTTGTCAGTTTCTGGTGCCTCTTGTCCTCATTCAACCCCCGAACGATACTTGCACAAGGAGTGCAGCGCCCCCTTCCCTTTCAGGGTACCGGGGTGTCAGTGTACACAATCAACGGTAATGGAATCAGGAAGTTGACACTCTCAAAAGAACGACACCAAAGTCCAGCCGAACAGAGCAGAAGAAAGAAAAGGGACCAACAACACCAAAAAAACACCAACTCCTAGGTTTTGTTCAGCGGAGGGAGCGGGTTCCTTGAAGAAGCGTGAGCTATTCTGCGTCCGTTCGCTAGTAGCAGGTTACTTGGCAGTTTGTTTAGCCCCTATAGCGGGCTTTATATAAACCATGCAAATCTAGAAACCCAGACACTCCATGGGACTGCCATATATGCCTACATTCACCCCCCTGGCACCACCCCATGATACTCGCCATATATGGCAGTCCCATTCGTCGTGTCTGGGTGGTGTATTAAAATCCAAACGTTCCGTGCTGTTCCGGTCGAAACCTCACCCAGGCACACAATCTTGTAGGCGCCATCGACCTGGTCATCGGGTTGACGACCCGCGAGGCCCACGAGGCCCAGCGGATGGTCGGACTGGTGGTCGGACTGGTGTTCTGACTGGACAAAAAGGGGTTGAATGGAGCGAAATGATGCCTCAAATCCACCCAACCTATAGGACTGCTGCGAAAGCTGGGAAATCTGCAGAGTTACATGCATCTAGGTATACGTAGATCATGTGATCCAAAACAAAGGACTCGGTACGCAGTCAAATGACTTCGGATTTCTTTTGGGTAGGGAAGATGTTAAACCTCCAGGTACGAGGTCAAGAGTGTGGGAGAACGGACCCCCTTCAGTTCATTCGAGGAATTCTGCCCCTTTACGAGTCGCCCAAGTCGGTCCCGGGTCTGTCGATGTCCAGCTTGAGAAAGGGTCAAGTTCTCTGCGTAGGAAAGGACTGCTCCATGCAACTGGTATGTTAAAATGGGGAGACCTTCCTTCCAGACCCCCCCGAAGGAGGAAAATAGCCAGTCTACGGATTGGTTGGGTGCCTCCCCCATCAAAATACACACCCAAATGTAGGTCAAAGACCCCAAAGTCTTCGAGGCCATGCCAGGACCCTGGTGTGTAAGCCCCACGGAGTACGAGACATGGCCAGTGGTGCCGACTTGTGGCGGTGCGTATCAAAGAGGACTGGTGACTGGGACTCGGACGCAGTGTGTTCGGCCCCCGTTGCCAGGGAGCAAGGGCTGGCGCGCGGATTTCCACTTTCACATACCCAGAGAAAGGGTTAGAGAGATATTGAGAGTTAGAGCGAACACGCATCTCGTTGGGCTCGACTCCAAAGACTATATGGGCCCAAAGGACCCTGAAACAGAGTGTTGCAGTCCAAGCATCATCTCTCACACTACTAATTCAAATCCAAGCGCTTTCCCAATCACCTCTTGAAGATATGTTTGGAACGGCTGACTGCCTTTTCCTCTGAACAACACTTGCCCCATGAAGGCATCCCTAGTTGGTCCAAACAACTCTCCGCCTCACTGCAAACAAGGCTGCCAAGCTGATGGCCGTTCTGAAGTTTTCAAAGGTCTTCTTCAACTTGTCCAGGCTCCTTGCGAAGAATGCTGTGTTTTGTCAAGCATGCAGAATCCCGAGGCGGTTGGAGATGTTTGGTGGTTTGGAAAGTAATTTGATGTACCAAGATTCCCCGTTGCCAAGATATCCTTGAAGTCTTGTTGAAGTCTTGTTGTTGGCAAAGAACAGGTCATCAACAGGCTTTGAAGTTTGTGTTGGGGAGTGAACACCCTAGAACGCTAGTCGTTGGCACCTGCGCACTTTCGACCTTTATATAGTCAGTAGGTTGCAGGCCATCGCTATTAGGTTGGAGGCCATCGTTATTAGAGTGGAGGCCATCCCTAGTAGGTTGGAGGCCATCGGAGGCCATCGCCAGTAGGATCCTTTTGCTATTAGGTTGCGATGGTGGTTGGAAGCTTCCAGAAGGCTCTCCTGTTGTAGCGCTTCCCCTCGTGAATCTCTCGCGCAATGCCACGTGCCAGGATCGCGCTGGGATCAGCGTAGATGCCCAAGAGCGAGACTTGGTAGCCTTGGATTCAAAGCTTCGATGACACATGGCACTCACCCCAGAGAAATGGAGGTCCACTACTAAACCACCGGGCCCCACTTGTGTGGGCCCAATAGGCCGTGCCATCTACTCCCTCTGATGGCCCACTGGTCCGAGGTCGACCGATGCGGTGAGGTCCGCATGCGGCAATGGGTTTGAAGGATGAGGCTCGTTCTGATCTGTGAGGTCCGCCATCCGCGCACCAGCAGCAGCAACAGCAAACACCGACAGCAACAACAGCAATGGCGGCGGCAGCAGCAGCAGCAGCACCACCACCACCACCAACAACAACAACAACCACCAACACAACCACAACCACAACCACAACAAACTCGACAATGAAAGAAATGAGAACATGGCCACACACACACATTTTCACACACCAGAGCGGGTGGACTGCAGAACTGTGATTGATGCTGTGCTCTGCATGGTCATGTGAGCGTGATGTCTCAGGGTGCTTCACTGACTCCTCGAGCCAGGGATCCATGGGAAAATCAAGCTTCACCTTTGTTTCCACCAGGAAACCAACCCCCGCAGGTCGCAGGTGAGACTGGGGACCAAAGATTTAGGACTTGTTAGGTCCAGTGAGATAAGTAGTTGCCACAAGGGGGTTCTCCCAAGTCATCATGGAGCAGAAGAAAACATGAGAAAGGTACGGAAAGGTTAAAGGTTCTCCACGGAACTGGGTAGGTTCACCTTCACCTGCTGCAAAGTGCTGGAACCCACTTCACTCGTGTGTGCACTGCCCACCGCCCAGTAAGCTTCCAACAGCCACTGCATCGAAACGCCTCATCGCTTCTAGCGAAAGAACTGATTAGCTTACGAATCAACGCCCCCAAAGGAGAGGCACTTCTCCCCAAGAAAAAACGCACGGAGGGACGGTGCCCAACCTCATCACTTTCAAAACCCACTTTCCTCCCCAAGAACAAAGCAAAAGCTCTTCCGACCGCCGGCCTGAAGCTGCCCGAAACCCAAACTGCTGCATTTCAAGCGTCCTCCGCATTGCAGCTCCTGGATCAAGGCTTTGAGTCCCTTGACCTCGGAGCCCGTGTCGGACACGATCAGCTCCTGCGGGTGGCCGCTGGGTGGTCTGGGAAGCTGAGACAACGGAGGTAGACTTTGGTTTGGTGAGATCTTTCTGGTTTTATTTATTGAATGAAAACTCTATCCAAATGTCTCTTGGGCAATGTGCTGCTAAACGGATGGCTCCAGAAAGGGGAACGTCAACTCCCATGCTTATGAGGCTCCTGGGAGTTTGCTCCACTCACAACTTGTATGTATATATATTTATAAATATAAAACAATGAATGATTCCGCAGTGTGCCCTCATATTGTGGGGAATCCTTGATCCCTGAAATTGTCAAGCAAGACAAACCACTGAATCAAAGACCGTCGTAACATGAAGTCACTTCCAGTCACTGTGGTTAGGGAAGCACAGTGACCAACTTCGTACATCTTTGGTTGAGCAAAAAGGTGTTGCAGGTTCAGATTGACCATAATCCAACCACCTCTGAAAACGTCAAAAGCTGTCGCTCTCCTGTTTTTGCACCATGGCTCGGCGAAAAACCTCCTTCCTTAGCAGCACTGCAAAGGCCAGTGGTCATATCCGACATATCCTGCTCTTTCCATCTGTGTTTCCTTTGTCTGTCTCAACTGGTACGTCCACTGGCCTGTTGCATATCGCTGTTTTGTTGTTTCAAGTTCATTAAATAGATCTTGATGTTAGTCATGTTTAACGCTCCACTTGATTGTACGCTGCTTATATTTCTGTGTTTTATCGTTACAGGCTTACAGGAAATACATTGTATTTAATTACTCGGCTTGGTTTCGCTTCTCTTCAATCACAGTTGTACTCTGACATGGTTTCGTCTTCAATGTTGATTACATACTGCCACGTCACTGAAATAGGATTATTATTGGACGTTTCCTTGTTTCTCATAGTGTATATCATTTGTCCTTCTTTTGGGATGTAGCTGTGCAAAACTTTCTATCTGGACGAAGGTGCTTCCCTTCCCTCATTCCTTAGCACTCGTGAAGAGATATCAGGTGGCAAGGGACTACCCAACAAATGAACTCCAACAAGGCCGACCCATTATACGGTGACTGATTTTTTAGCGCGAGCCTCTCCCCGAGGCCTTTTTCGGGGACCCTCTGCACGGGCGTTTTAGGGTTCTGCCCTGCCATCGCTGTGGAACCCACGACGTTTCGAAGCGTCGAACCCGCTTCGGGTGACGTTGGCAAAATGAGAGTGGAGTCCGAAGTCGAGGAGTGGAGTCTGAAGGCGAGGAGTGGAGTCCGAAGTCGAGGGGTGAGAATGGGCGAGATGGGGTGATTGTAACAGTTCAGATCGAATTGTTCCATCCTGCGGTGTCTGTGCAGTTGTACGGACCCACAAGGAGTGATTCAGAAAGGCCCCTGTTTCCGGCGATTGATCATCACTGGATGGGGGCCCTGGTACTGGATGCTTTGGCAGGTATTGGAAGGTGATTCCTCTGCATTTTTGTTGTGTCCTTGTTCCTCGTCCTTGTTTGGTGTATACTAAAATATAGATAATTTTAATGTCTATAAAAACCATCAACCATGGATCTACAAAAACCATCAACCATGGAAGCCTCTAATGGGACTACCAGACCGAGCCCTTTAAACCAAAGCTCCGGGAGGTCCAGTATCTGCGAGTGTCCGGAAAAACTTTGGGCAGCGTCAGCGATGTTAACTAGCTTGGCGATTGAACAGCTCCAGTTGTCTCACCAGGTTTTACCTTCGAACACCATTCCAAAGGGACGGGACAACGGGACAACATGTTGGATGCTTTGCCGCTAGTTTTGAACATGTTCTTCACCAAGGAACTTGGCTTCCTGCACCACCGCTTTGGCTGCAGGCCAAGCATTGTACCTCGGCTTATCAAACAAATCATAAACCCCCGGTACTGACCAGAAATGGTTGCAAACATGTATGTATGTGATGTGTATATACATATTATATATATATATATGTGTGCGCAATCCCCCCAAATATTTACCTTTTTGGGCTGCTGCAAGCATGTTTAACTCAATATGACAGATAGGTAGATAGATAGATAGATAAACAAATATATGATATATGGATAGACTTAAGAGAGGGTGATTCATAAGAGGCCGTCAAATTTCAGAAGGATGGAAGTTTGTTGAATGTTGCAGATGCATCTTTTTTCACATGTGGTTAGAGACAGGACTTTTTCTATCTCCGAGCAGATTGATTGCACCTAGGCATCAATGCCCCGCACGTATGCTTGTAAAAGTTGCCCGGCGCCGCCACAAGCCCAGAGATCCAGTACTCGTACTGCACAGACCGAATATGGGCACAAAGCAAAGAACTACCCAGCTTGGTGAGTTGATTGAGACGCAAGCGATCCTTGATGAACCTCCAGGCCTGATCAATGATCTGTGTTCCTGCTTGACACAATGTTTCCCACATGGAAGTTTGTGGGCTGAAAGCTTGACAAAATTAGGCGATTGCCAAATGAGTTTGCTTCAATTAACTTTCACACGCCTCTTCTGGCGAACCACACTGTCCTGCAGAACACCTTGTCTGTGTGAAGGATGATCTTCCGTCCTTCAAATTTAGAGACTCAGACAGCACACAACTTGCAGAATCACTATATGCACAATGCACATGTTAATCCTGTCCACCTATTTGAAAACACAGGGTCCCCCCCTTCCCCCTATCAAGAAAAACTTGATCGCATTCTTTTTTAAATAGGGGTCCCTGAAATCGGGAAGGTCCAATTTAGGGCGACCTGGGAAGAGCTTCAAAACCACAAAATCACTCAGGATTTGTTGTTATCTAAAATAGTTTCTTAAACGTGTATCAAAATGGATTTGTTGTTATATAGAGTAATTTCTTAAATATTATGTATCAACATTTCAAACAAAAAACTCCAGATCGAAGGGTCTTCCTTTTCCCCTACAAAAACCGTTATTAGAATACTGATTGACCAACAACTAAAGCTTTCGAAAGGTGATGTCGCTGTGCCACGCGGTGTGTCATGGTGGATAGAGAGGGCGGACAGAGGTGGGCAGTTATGGTTGCTTTGGGAACCTAATCCCCAAAAAAACTACCCCAAACTCGACCATGTTGGTAGTTTAGTAGCGATTTGAAAGGGCGGTCATTAAAACACATATATAAACTGTATTTAGGGTTTCGGACATGGTGTTGTTTTAGGCTTTTTTTAATAGGTACTACTCTGTACTCGGGATTAATGAGTAACTGTAGCATTATTTTAGTACTAATGATTACTAATGCGTGTATCTTGTTGGTATATATCCACTGTCGGCGCATCCCAGGAGATTATTGAAGTTTAAAGATATTTATATAGACACGATGCAGATGTGCAGGAGCTGCTAGCATGTTCCGGAATTCTTTCTTTCCAAAGCTGTTTGCAAGCTGTTCTACATTTCAGCTGCCTCTCTGGAGCTAAGCACGCTTCAGCATCCTCAAGGATTTCAAGTTTTCACACTTTAGTTGAGTACTCTCTGCTTTTGGGTTAGCATTCTCAGTCAGCAATTTTTCAGTCAGCAATTGTTCAGTCAGCAATTGTTCACTTTCCTCTTCAATTTCCTGGTGGCAAACAATGATTGCATCTTCCAGCTCAGAAATGGTCGCTTTCAGGTCGATGATCTTTAGCGACACATGCGTGCGGCAACTTTCACAAAAGCTGAAGACGATGAGGAGCTGTCCGACGAGGAGGAGAAAGAGATGAAGAACTCGTCCCTTTCCTCTTGTCCGATGTGGCCCTTGTCTTGTCTGTCAGAGCCAGGGGCACTTCATCTGAAGGTCAATTCGTCAAGGCCAGCAGCGGCTTGATGGGTTTGGAAATTGTGGCTCTGCCGTTGCTTGGCCAGAAGCGCCTCAGCCTCGCTGCTCCATTGTCCCTGTGTGTCGGGGGTTAAGTGCTTTTTCTGAGTTCATGGCAGAAGAAAGGGCATCCCGACCAAAGCTTGACGACCCTCGTGGATGACGAGGGCTCCTTGCTCGAATTTTCTGTTGGTCGGAAAGGCCTGAAAGGACAGGCCCAGCTGGCTTCAGTCTGATAAGAGCTATCTGCATGGCAACGCGTTGCAACGGGTTCTCTTCATTGAGGTTCTCTAAGAATAGCCCCCCTGCCAGGGTGCAAGATTCAAGATTTCAGAAAAGAATTCTTGAATCCCGTCCAAGGACTCAGACTCTAGATTCTGCAGAAAAAGGAGTCACAAATAGAGTTCTTGAATCCTGGGGTCCAGACCTGGGGTTCAGGAATTCTTGTGAAATCTTTAATTTGCAATCCTGGGAATGGGATTCAAGAATTCTTTTCTCAAATCTCGAATCTTGAATGTGAATTCCCATTGCAAACACATCGAAATGGTAGATTTGTTGATCTTTTTTGGGGGGTATACACCAAAATGGTCTCCAGCTCAGCCGGTCGCACAACGTATGTCGACAGCTCCGGACCCAGGTGCCACAAGCCATCGTTCGCCACACCGTTCTCGCACAAAAGGCGATACCTAGGGCCGATACCCTCAACAAAAATCGAAAGCACATGCCAGGATACCATCGAACAAGGATGAAGTTGCTATCACGGAAGTCATTGGTCCATATGTCTTCAAAGATGTGTCAGATTTACAGTAGGAGCAAGAAGCTACTAGGGGCTCCTGGCCTTACTACTAGGAGCAAAGTACGCTACTACTTATATAGTCATGCAAAAAAAACGTTCTTTTTCGTGCCAAAAGAAGGCCCGAGCCGCTGCCGATGGACGTCCCGGAAGAGGGCGCCGTCCGCGCGCGCTGCGCGGTCTTGCTCCAGGCCGAAGGTGCTGCAGAGCTGGGAGACGACCTGTAGCTGGAGTCGACCAGTTTGTACCTCGCAAAATGAGTACCTACCTCCTACTAGTCCAGTTTTGTCTCCGTGAATGTACGGGAAAAAGCGGTTACAGAATGGATACCAGGACCGACGGTCGGTTGATACAAGCTGATACCCATAATCACCTCCAATGGGGCTATTCATAGACACCTTGCTGGGTGGGCCGTGGTTCAGTTGTACCTGTTTTTGGCGAGCCATGTCCTGCGAGCCATGTCCTCTTTTGGTTCGGGTACAAAGGGGAGGATCCAGGTACGACGGTGGAAGAGTAGGGTTCCACAATGGATTCTGTGTGACCAAACCGAGGTGCAAGAGTACCTGGGCCCGGACCAGGTAGGAACGCATACCAGACCGGATGCCGAAGTCTCCATGTACTTATAGAAAATGCAACGTCTGAGCCAAAGAAGAGGTGGTGATCCCATAGGTTCAGAGGTACGTGGAGGGTCGTTGCATGTCGGCAAGACATTGAGAATATTGAAATAGCAAACGCCAAATATGGCGCACATGCGGATTGTACTTCATAAAGTTACTGTACCCATTCTCAATGATACCAATGAAGACTCCAAGTGGATGGTAGTTAAATGTGCAAACATTGGAACACACCAATTTTGATCTGCTTACTGTTGAGTCGACAAAATTTAGCTTCTTGGCTCTCTCTCACTCAGTCTTCATGATATGTCTCCGCTCTTCTTGCATGGTTTTCCGCCTTAAGAAGGTCTTGGTCCCTCTCTTCATGCCAAGCGGCTGTTGTCTTGCCCCCGGCCGAGGGTGCCATCACCAGCAGTGCCTTTGGTGAGCCTTCGGCAGGAACCAGTGTTTGCGCTGCGACGTTGCAGGCCTCGTGCGTTTCACGGAGGAATCGAAGCATAGATCCAAAACTAATAACTAGCTGATTACATTTGACCAGACCCCCAAAAATATAGTACCAATGTACGATGTACCATGTTTGAACTGTTGAAGGCACGGTGATTAAACAAGCTTGCCCGCTAAGAACTACTTCTTCAAACAAAAAGCCGTCTGTTGCTCGTATGACAGAGATTCACCAGTTCTGTCTGAATGTGATCTGCAAAAGTGCACTAAACATGCAGGGCGCAATTTTCCAACATCAAGCCCCTGCCCAAAACGGTTTCAGACACTTGGGGGAACATGTTCTAACTCCAACAAGTCCAAGTAGTCTGTCCTCAAAACCGAACCCCATGGACCAGCCTGACAAGTCGATGTCCACCCCCGGTCGCTACCGGGGTTTCGGTCCAATACACTCCATTTGGGCTGGTGCCAGGGGGGTCTGTCTCGGGCGGCAGTCCGGACTGGCAGTCCCATGGAGTGTCTGGGAGATTGTTGATCTAACCTTGGCAAAAAGCCCAGGAAACGCGAGCACGCGAAAGAAACCGCGTGCCTGCAATGCACCGGCCCATTCCTCGTGGCATTCCGGCGAGGCAGAGATGTCCTTCTGCTCTGGTATAGACTTGTTGTGCTTTTAGAGGGTTGAAGAGGAACACACATGGGAGAAACCTTGAATTTGACCAGTTGTTGGTCTCAACTAAAGCCCCTTGTTGTGTTTTGGGGGGTCATTTCTAACTCACCCAAAACGAGATGCCATGGGACCGTCAAGCCGAGGTTGATGTACGTCTTCCAAGGAATCCCGGCAAACATTGACTTGCTACGTTTCGGATAGATGGTTTCTGCGGACCTTTTAAGGGGTCAATGCGATGTATAAATCGTCCAGTCCCATGAATGGTTGGGATTACTTTTACCCACTCTCGAGGATTCCAGCTAGCAACATCCAGCTAAAGCAAGAAAACTCCAGCTAGCTGGTGCTAGCTTTTGTATATGCATATATCGTTTTGGGGGATGCTATGATGTGTTCTGTTCTTTTGGGGCGTTTCCTAAGATGACCAACTGGCCACAAGCTAGCGGTGAATTTCTGACAACTCCTCATCTTACACAAAACAACACAACCATATACACGGGATTCATGGGGCCTCTGTTTGATTGTATCAAACACCCGATCCAAGCTCACAAAACTACGAAGTGCACCGTCGTCTAGCGCGCTAGCCCGAAGCTAGCGGGCGGCTAGCGCAAAAAGTCGCTGGTAGTCGAGTGAGTGAGTGAGGGACTGAGTGAGTGAGTGACTGACTGAGTGAGCGAGTGAGGGAGTGAGGGAGTGCGTGGGTGAGTGAGTGAGTGGGTCAGTGAGGGAGGGAGGGAGGGAGGGGAGGGAAGAGAGGAGGACACGAAGGAGAAGAGGAGAATCAAAATCCTTTAGCAACGCACAAACACACCTACCAACAAATTGTCATATCACTCATATAGAGAACCTAGCGCCTTGCGGAATCAACGTAGTCTGCTGGGGGGGAGGTTGTAGTCATCACGACCTGTGAGCTCCGGTCCTCTTCGTTGAGATCTCGAAAAGGCGCTGTGCAGAAGTCCAGCAAGGAGCCATCTGCGAGTCCAGCCAGTCTCACACACTCCCAATGAATAGAGAATTGGACCCTTCAAAGTGACCCAAACAAAAACAGGTACGACTAGGGCCCCATTTTCCAAGATACTTTCACAGGTCGGGATTATGCATACTGGATCCTGCTTTTGAGCTCAGGCTCCAAGATCCCAGTGACCAGAAACGAGGTTCTACAAACAAATGTAGACTGTTGATGAATGAATCTGACCCCAACTGATAGGTAACATTCAGTAACTATGCCAGTATCATGTCTGGGGTGAAAAGGGTTGACAAACACTAGGCAAGGGACCTTGTTGGTTGCCACCGTCTCCATGTCTCCCCATATGGCGGCCTGGCGGTTCCTGGATGGCAGAAGGGGTCTTTGTGTTGGATTTGTTGTGCAGGACCCAGTGGTCCCGGGAGGTCAATGTCACACACGACACGCAGGGGATTTACTCATAGGGAAACGACTAAGCATCGTCCAATCAGCAAAACTAGGTTAGTGTTGGAGGAATATTCGAGGACGTCTGCCTCTTCATGCTTTCTGCATGCGGCCCAGGGATCAACAAGGAGGTGTCAGGTGGTTCGAAGTTGAGGGAGCCTCTGGGGGACAAAGGTCACATTGAAGAGGTTAATGAGGTAAGCCAAAAAACTCAATCCATGCCCAATGGAGGATGGATTGAATAGCTATTTTACCTCCTTACAGTCCATGGCTGCAAGATCCTTCTAAGAATAAGCCAAGGCCGGCTTTGTGCTGATCTGAGTCCCTTTCTGTGTTCACCACACCTTGAATGTACTGTCTAGGAACCGAAAGAACAAGACAAACCCCAAAAAGACAATGCCAATGATTCCAACAACTTGGATTGACCCATCGGCAGCGGCAACTTAAGCAAACCGCCCACACCGGGACATGGTCCACTCAGCCACACTTCTTTCGATCGACCGAGCGGAGCGCCTGGCTGCCGCAGGGCCTCCAACAACGCCCGATCCTCGCGCACCGCGCGGCAAATGCCCACGGTTGGCAGCTTGGCCTGGCAACGAAGCGAAGCAGCGAAGCTTGATGATATGTATGTATATGGCAGGGCCCGATGGAAAGGGTGTCTATAATTATAGCTCCTTAGACGCCTTAGAGGTAAAGGTGTGTCCACTATACATATATATATATATATTATGCTTGCATGTGGTGGGTGGTGCCTATCAACCTGTTCCAGATTCACGGAACTTGGATCCATTCACCTGGCAAATCTAATCCTTATAGATCCTTGGCGATTAGAGGTCTGTCACTGGCCCTCAATTCGTGAGAGTTGCAGAAAATCTGTAGGACTGCCTAAGAAAACCACCTTCCCTACTTTCTTCAGATCACAACCCAGTGATGTAGGCAAAGTGAGGATCCAATCACTTTTGAGAAGAGGGCCATATGGATTCCTAGGGCTTGAGCACTTCCTCTAACCCTAGAACGCCATCATCAAAAAGACACGTTCCCTCCCGTTCCCTCCCGTTCTCCCTTCGTTCGCCTCCAACGTCCAGCGGCGCCCGTCGCGCCAGCGAAGCACTTGGCCTCGAACCGAACGAACGACGGGGACCGGGACGCCACGAGACCTGATGGCGAGTTGGGGACGGGAGCTCCCTTCTAATGTGCCGATCTATTTACACAGTTGTCTAAAAAGCCTGAAGAGTTGAACTATGTTGAACTTGTAACAATGTCTGCAGCCCAGCCCGCCAAATGGTCTATGCCAAGAGTTGTGTGGAGGTTGTATAGATCCAGAGACTAGTCCCCAAGATTGAACAACCTGATGTCAACAAATATGTCCATGATGATTTCAAGGCGCTGTCCATGTGGGGTCGGGCGGAACATCTCTTCTTTTCGATGCAGGTCTTCTACCTACTTGCCCCCCAAAGAAAGAATGGTTCACGAAACCTTAACCATGCTACAAAGTAGCAAAAATCTAACACCCTCTTAAAAGAACACAGCGTCCTCTCAACCAAGGCCAAATCAATATCCCAACCAGGTCCCTGTTCATCCAATTGCCTTGGAACATGACCCAAGGCAAAGCAAGGACTCCAGGTGGTTCCTTCCACCCTCCATGAAGCCCGAGTGCTGGTCACATCTAGTCGCCCAAGCTCATCGCCCACCTCACCAGTGGAACGCCAGTCGGTTATGGTCATACCGCTCAGGCTTCAAAAAAATCCAGGTCAATGGTCTCATGTAATGTTCATCAAGGTGCCCATTTTTGTCTAGCCGGTGTGTACAGTCTCTACAGTCTCACGAGCGGCCTACCAACCCCAAAGCAAGGGAACTGCATGGGTTCCCTGCCGTGAAAGCCCACGGATTTCGGGGCATGCGCCCAAAGATTTCTTTGCCAACACATTTATGTACCGTATACACCTCATCATTCTTCCAGTCAGTTGCCTCAAAAAAGGCAACTCCTCGATCGGTCAAAGAATCCGCGGGCGACAGACCTGAGGTTGGACTGGTGGTCCACTCTGTTTTAACCTACGTGGTTTTCTCCATCATCGGGTACCAGTACCTACTCTTTTTTCGAAGGCACTTTGGACTTAAGACCATTTGAGACCGGATTGGTGCGCCAGTCATCAGCGGCATGGTATTTCACATCACAGGCAATCATGGCGCCCATTCGTGACACAAAGTGAACATGCATCCGCCTCAAAAACCCTCGATGAAACCAATATGAGACCTTGTTGGTCATAAACTCAGGGCCCTTTCAACCCTTCGTCCTGGATACCTGATATGGTCTACATATAGTCTATTGGCACGCTCCAATGTTCCCTGATTGGTTCTGTCTTTGCAGTCTCGAGTAGCAAAGTCCGGATCCTCACTGAAGGCGTGGAGCGCGCACCTCGGAGGGTTGTTTTGGGATGAGCTGCAGGGGGATGCCAGGCACAAAGCAACACGTCGTAGAATTCACAGAGCAACACCATCTGAGCAAGAATCAAAAAACACAGATCGATTGATTTGACCTATCCTACCTCAAATGTACAGTAAACTTTTCCATGATGGCCACCTCTTGTGTTTCCCACTAGCCAAACCACCTGTTTGCAGAGTCGCCAGTGGACTCAACCAAAGGCAACCAAGCTTGAACTGAGTGGATTTATACCTGGACCCTAGGGTCGTACCCAAGGAAAATGGGACATGAATTGCGACTGCGGTTTCTTTTTGGTACTTGGAGACTTCAGATGTCGGATGATGTCCAACCTGATAGATGCCAAAAGCAATTCATTCAACCTGATAGTGCCTGGTTTACAAAACAACTGGTTTTCAATGTGGGTCACATGGGCCATCACGATGCTCATCACTCAAACCCGGACCGTCATATGCGGTTCTCAAGTAGCGCCAGCTGGGGCAGGGCGTTTGGGTGTTTTTGTTTGCTAGAAAGTTGGGCAGCTGGCTGCGCCTTGCGCGAGTTGCTGACTGCGCACTGTGCACTTGAAGGGAGAACAGGAAAGATTGGTCAGCCCCTTTGAGAGTCCTAGAAATGCCTGTGTGTTGCTACTGGCCTCTGTGTCGACACTGTGTTTGCACGCTTTCACAAGGTGTACCTCGGGGCGCAAATGCTTGGCATTGAGGGCCTTCATCCAAAGCCCAACATGCTACATTCGACATGCAACATATTTTGCCGCTTTCGAGTGTGACGCTTCAAAGCTAGTTTGCTGTCTGGCCCTAAGCTAGTGGGCGGCAATACACGTCTCTTCTCAAGATAAAGTCGAATGCCCAGTGATCGTTTGGCGCGATAAGGCCTTCACTAGGTCCTGCATCTTCTAGTCCATCTCAACACAACAAAAATACCTGGAATCTCAAAGTACCTCGAGAAAATGGGTACAAAATGGTACAATATGTGTTTTTTTGTTTTATAGGGTTAAGATGTTGTATTTTCTAAAGTACTTTGGAGGGAGAGCTCTTCTGAAAACAGACCTGACTCTTGCGGGGGTCGCCATGCTGATCTGTCTTCATGAACTTTGTTGGTCAATTCTTTGAGTTTGGAGAGGCCCGAAACGGCGCAGATGTCTTAGACTCCTTTCCACGCAGAACACATCACGCTTCATAAAAACGTCGTCCACCTGGACGTAAGTGAGATTGTCCTCGCAGTGCCTGTTTTTTCTATCATCCTCCCCCCCCCCATGTTTGTCCCGGGCCCCGTCCGGTCTCAGTCGGGTCGGACTTCACGGCAGGTCGGTACGGACGCACCCATCGGTGCGCTCGCTCGGCCCCGCGCTGTCGATGTGTCCGCTGCCGTGCCGGGTGGCGTTCGCACAGAAAAGCAGCAGTGCTCCAGCTCCGGAGGCCGTAGAAGCACCTGCGCTGGGCGCAGTCCAGATGCGCAGTCCCAACATCAGTCCCTAACAATTCATTTAGCTGGAAACCCGTCCCAAGTACTCTAGAAAATGGGATCCACATACCCTGGAGCAACAACTCAAGATTGAGAGGATCCAATGAAGGGCCCCAGACCTTTTCAGGGATATGTCCATGTCCATGTCCTTTCCCTAGGGATCCACGGCCACCTTCCCAGAAGGTATGACGGGACACTCACGAAATCGCCTATAATAAAAAATAGAGTTTCAAACCCATCACCCTCTCAAAGGGTCTGTGGATCCAGATGCGCATGTATGCGCATGTTAGACTTGCCTTTGAGCAGAAAATTCCAGATGTATGTGTTGATGGACTAGACAGCCCTTGACAGAATGTGAACGATGAGGACTTCCGGAGGACAGTCCCTTTGTTTCACACGAAAAGGCTACCTCAGATTGGACCTTCCCCCACCGTTGCCGCCGCTGCCGCACCGAGGCACCTCGGACACCTCCCGAGTGGGATCCTGCACAGTGATCTCCACGGCGCCTGCAGTGTCATGTGAGAAGGCCCCCATAATATGAAACCACTACTACAAGTACCACCCTCTGAGAAGGTGACTGGAGACCTGCTTTATGTAGGCGAGTTGTGAGGGTCTAATCACCTTCTCAAAGGGTATGTGGATCGATAGGGAAACGAGAAGGAAGGCGGGTCATGGTGGGCCGTTTCTTGGACAAAGCTGAGGAGGCGAGGCCACCAGTGAGTCTCCACATGGAAAGATTCGAAGCTGAAGTGTCAAGATGTTTAAACATGCTAGGAGAATGGCAAATTGAATGTTTGATCCCACAAGGTGAGTACAAGAAGTTGAGAGACGGACCTAGGAAATTAAGGAAGCTCAGGTTTTCTGTTCGCAGATCTTGGCAGATCTTTTTGACGACAATGGGCCCAGCAGACCATTCAGCCACTTCTTATAGATGATGTCCTTCTGTAACATCTATAGCGCATGTGATCAAGGTATGGAGACGAACACGAAGCTGGCTTGGGTACGACCGAAAGGTGGCTAAAGGTATCCAAAGGTCCTCAAACCTCTGTGCAAAAGGCTGAGTAATGTCCAAGTGCCCTCCAGCAAGGCCCCAACTGGATCAAACAAGAGTTTCGGGCGGTGCACCGGCAAGCTCGTCGGCCAGCTCGATCACGCAAAGTCAAGGAGAAGGAGAAGGGCTCTTCAGGAGAGTCGATCAACAGGTTGGAGCTGCGCTGATGAGACACTATCAGGACAACTGCTCCTTTGGGATAGTGCACTCCTCTCATAGTCCTTCGTATCCAGCATCTGAGGGCATGCCTTTGTGTATATATATTGTTTGTTGTGTTTTATATAGATGTCCCTTCATTGAGATTCTGAAATCATCAAGGATCCGCATGTCCCCTGAGAGGTGCTTGCGGAGGGTTGAATGTCCTTAACTCTCACATATTGAGATCCAACGGATCCAAAAAGGGGTGTTTTTAGGAACACAATACGTCCAGTTCCACAAGATCTCGAACGTGATGTCTTCCATGTTCAGCCAGGGAAACCCACCAAAAGTAGCATTAAAAGTGCTGAGTGGTCCGTGACTCCGTGTCCTTTGATCGGCAACCTGATGGACGGTCCATCAATCCAATATTAGCGGATGGCAACATATAGAAAGGTACTCACATATCTCACATACCTGCCATAATCCCACTTTTGTCCCAAGGTGATACAACTAATAGTTGCGAAACGAAAAAGGTCAAGGCACCATCGCTATCACGTGTTCTTGGGGGCAAAACAAACGGCGCGAACTTCTTCTTGTTGTAAGGTATTCCAGGACCCTCCAGGAAATACCCGAACAGTCGGAACTTCCTGGAACATCGGACATGACCCGAACACAGCTGACGAACACCGCTTACAAGCCCCATAGACGAACTGTCAAAGAGGACGAACTGAGACGTCTCAGGTGTTTTCGATTTTGAGGAACTGTCAAAGCCTTCCACCGACTCTCTTTTTTGGTAGGGTAGGCATAACCAGCTGTAAAGCGGCTGCTACCCACATCATTTTGCATGTTATATATATATATGGTAATATAGTATACAATATTATACATATTATGTAAATTATATGATATTATATGTCTGTACTTTGGATATTTTTGGAGACTCCAGGTTATTAGAGGCTTGTGTGGTTCACTCTTTCAAACAAAATAACGGAGCTCCAGCGCCTCCGTCATCCTTTCTGTAGACACCCTCCAGACTCAAGCACTCGCACCAAGCATGACCCTGCAAGAGGCGACGCAGGCAACGCAGGCGACGCAGGCGACGCAGGATCAATCATGAAGCGAGAAATGATGAGAAATGATGTCTGGTTCCAGGTTTTGCATTAACCAAATGACCTCATCACATTATAAGGACTCAAGTCATTGAAGATTCTTCATACCTCCAACAGGCCCCCTCATCAACTATATTACTGCGAGAAACCCTCACATCAGGTCTTGAACTCCAAGAATCTTGCTGATGCACAGCACTACCCCGCCGTTAGCCACACAAGTACCGCAGCACTACCTCCTCAGTCGGTCTCTCTCTTGGGCTTCGGTGTGACGTGACGAACCGCCGAGTGTCGACGGATTCCGTGCCCGGGATCTTCCCGTCGTGACTGAACGGATTGGTCAGGGACCTCTACCAGGGGGTTCACAGAGCTCGGGGTGGTGTTTATATAGTCCAATCCAGTGAGTGGATGTGACAGGGCCACCCCGACGGCACCCTCCATGGAGTCCGCACCCAACTCCAGGAAACTCCTGGTACAGACCTGGTATGTCCTGATACCCTGTTTCACCGGTCATGGGTTCGAGTCCAGATACCACTGACTATACCCTAGGGCTCCAACCATATCCTCAGAAGGTGGTTCGCCCCCCCCAAACCCACCCCAACCACCGAACCTCAGGAGGTGGTTGGAGGGCTAGGGATAGTTTATAGGGTCCCAGTGTAGATCTCTGAACCTCTCTTGGCACGGATAGGGTCCCATTGTTGAGGGCAGGTGAAATGGATTGCATGACGGGGAAAATGGGGTAGCATTTTCGACCTGTCCCATGACTAAGGCTACAAGGACAGATTTGGGCCCACTTCTCAGCCATCCTGCAAGTCTGTCATGGTGGCCCTCGGGTCCCGCAGGAATAAACACCTAACCATGGGTGATGGACCTCAAACACTCACCTTAGGGGGTATCCCCGTATTAATCAACTAGCCAATAGTAAAAGGCCAACTGTGGGAACAAACGTGCTAAAACCAAAAGGTCCGTGTCGATCGTCGACCATGATTCCACAGAGAGAGAGAGAGAGAGAGAAAGCAGACCATCCACAAGCCACTTAAGCCGAAACTAGAGGGAAAAGTCCATGAAGTGCATCTTGAACTTCAGAGGCGTAAGTGCATATAGGGTCATCTGCCCGCAGATCAAACAACATCCCTGGTTCTTGACCACTCGCATCACCAGCTCAGCCTCGCGTGGAGGTAGTTTCCAGCTGATGTCAGCCCTGAGCTTGTCCTGATGGACACACCAACCCAAACCAACCTTTTGGAACTGCGGCTGGTTGTTGGCACCTGTTGATCACATTAAAAGCTCCCACCCTCCCACTGCAAAAACATCCCAAGGTAGTCAAACCCCTTTCAGCCACCTTTTTGTTTGTGGAATGTCCAGGAGGTAGTCGGAGCCCCCGGGATACAGTATATTTACAGTACTCATAATTCACTTATTCGCACACTAAGCACCTCGTCATGAAAGGACGTGTTCTTGTGGGTTTGTTGTGAAGGTTCAAAACAGAAACATATTGGACAATAAAGAACAGCCAAAGGTCCTCCATTTAAGGTTGTTTTGCGCTGGACTCCTTTCATAAGCCTTTCATATTCCTTCAGATCAGCCACGTCTGCCCACGCTTCAGATCAAAGACCTCCGACGGGTTTCGGAAAGCTTCACTGCCCTTCTGAAAAGCCGAGGAGCAAAGGTCTCCTGTAACTCATCTTGATCTGGACAGTTCAACCCCCGCGCATAGACCCTGCGCCTGGGCTCTGATGGTTTGATCAATGCTGAGCTAGATCTGGAAAACATGAACTCTACCTGGAGTCGACCTGTGAAAGTACCTGGGAACATGGGGCCCCAGTGGTACTTGATTCTGGGGTCATGTCCATTCTAAGGTACCGAGACGTCGGGTGTAATCATGTGTTCCACCACTCCCCGGCTCGCGAGACGTGAAGGGGTTGTGGATGGTTGTGGGGTCAGTTTCCACTGGTCTCGTGAGTCCAAACTGGGACGTGTGCCACATAAGCTGATGGTGGTTTGTCCAGGGACGTGTGCTGGTACTGGTAGGCACCGTCACCGTCAAGACGCACAGTGGTGAACAAAAATGGATGGTTTGGGTCTCTCCCATTCCCTGGGGCGGATGATGGTTAGGTTGCAGGCTTTTCTCTAAAATATAGTGATGTTATCAGGATCATCCAATGGGTGTCCAATAGACTACCCTACCCTACTTACAGGTCTCCATTGGGCACCTGTTGGAAGTACTAGGTATGTAATGTTCTTAGTGTAGCTTTGACATTGATGGTGCACAAGGCAGTCTGTGGAACTCAGCGTAGTCTACGTCCATGGTCCTGCAGCACAAAGGGTCCTCGAACCAAACGCGTACTGTGTACTGTGTCGCGGTTCGTGAGTGTTCTTTTCGTGTGTTTCGAGGCAGTGTGAAACTGTACAGCAATCTCACCTGGAACCTGCACAATACCCAGGACAACTTGGGACAAATAACCGTGTAAACATTGGAAAGCGGGAATGACTGTAGCCAAACTTGCCCCAAAATCTTGATTTGTACAACGGCTTCGGCTGCATTCGCTAGAGAATTGTTTCCTCTACCCCAACCACATCACTAGTCGCACCCGCATCATCCCACCATCACTACTCGCACCACTCATCACCAATTACTGGCTACTAGAAGCCTTAGATCATCTTAAATCTTCACCATCTACCATGTGACTCCTACTTGACCACTTAGATCTTCACCATCCACTGTGACTCCTACATGGTCAAGGCCTGACCTCTTGCTATAGTCAAACAAGAGGTCAGTCAACCTGGGCCTTCCAGCTGTGCAAACCTATGTTTTGCCTTGATAATCGGATAAACCCTCTCTAAAACCATCCTGAAGGCCTAAAACATGGCACACAACATTCGCATCGTCAGTTGCACAATCCGTGGTTGTTCGTTCATATACACTCCTCCAGCCACCTGGGATGAAAAACAACTCCTAAACACCTTCCCTTTGGGTTCCACCCGGTTTTCGCACGGTCCGACGACCGGTGAAGCCACGGAGTCAAGAGCTCCGTGTTGTCGAAGGCCACCGCCTCTGAAGGCGCACGTCGACTCGGTCAAGGACGTCGACTCGGTCCTAGCCTGACACATGATCCGGACATGACCCTGGGACCCTGTATACCTGTGTGTGACCTGTTTTTGTTGACTAAGACACCAAGGGTGCTGTTGATATAACCAAAAAGATACGCAGCACCTGAAAGATACCAGGGTGTCTCTCCATAGGTCGGTCCCCATAGGTCGGGGGCTGGGGGCTGGGGCGGCTGGGGCGGCCCCAGCCGTTTGGTGACCCCGGGACTACCTGTTGGTGCTGGTATACTGTAGTAACAAGTGCCTTACTACTAGTAACAAGAAGCTATTTAATTCTAATAGCAAACATTGTTACTACTAGTAGTAAGACACCGGGCTTACATCCCTAGCGTGGCAGGACCCTTGTACTCATGTTCTGGTCGGTCCGAACTGGTCGGAAGGAGATCCACGGCAATGGCAATGGCTTGGTCTAGCAAGCGCCAATGGCTTGGCGTGCGCGGCTTGGTCCATGCATGTGAGGAAGCGTACTGTATGACGCCCCTCTCCCTAAAACAACACCATGGTTAAGTGGACAACACCATTCTTTCTAGAGGAAAATGCTCTTCCAGACTCGGGGCCATGCCATCCACTTCCATGTTAGTTCCAGGGGGTGTATTGGCATGATGTATGAGCCCACAAGCCAGGGAGGAAACCTTGTTCTCTTACCGTGCTTGCCTTGCAATGCACACAAATGTGTGTGTGTGTGGATTGCAGTGGCACCTAAGCATAAATTAAAGTGAATGAATGCCATGCCTGTTGGACCAAGGTAAACAAAAGGAACAAACACAAATGCAATGCGAGTGCGCCAAGTCTTCATAAAATACTACAAAACCACCTGACCCGTATCTATGGTCAGGAAACACCCTTAAGCTTTCTATGCTTATTATTGTGTTCTCTTCCCAGAATCATCCAGAATCAAACATTTTGGATGTTGGCAACAATAACTGACGGACAAGGATGTTGGTTGGACACAAGTGTTGCACCTCGCGTGGTCGTTTGCATCCCAATCACTGCCCTCAAACACGTCCTGTCTCAACATCCATGAGGGCAGTGATGGGATGTCCAATGATCATCCATCGGTGGTCCGAGGCAATTGGTTTTCTCCATGTGGAAATCCCTTCACGATGAGGCTCGCGGACCGGACCAGAACGAAGTGGCCAGTGGTGTTGGGGGTACCCTCACGCCCCAGGTTCGGCTGGCCGGTCCTTGTCTGCTTTTCGACACATGCTCAGAACCTGAGCGAACGGGTCCAAACACAGGCTCGGTTGGGCCTTGGAAAGTCGAAATCATTGCAAACCTTACTATATGTATACCAGGTATTTCCTAGCGAGGTATACCAACCGATATAGGAGTATATGGTATATTGATCGCTATATATAATCGCTATGTATACCCATCAATATACACCCATAGGGATCGAAGTATCTGTACTTGAAGCCTTCTGAACCAAAACAAAAAGGCATCGTGCTATTTTATATCTCTTTTCCGAACTCAGTTAGTACCTCAAAGAATGAATAAAGGGTCTTGTCTTGTCCCCTTTTCATCCATTTGCTAGGGTCCAAACTGGAGAGTCCAGGTCTGATTTCCGCCCGGCGACATCCTCCATGGTCGCTAGCCATTTCTTCTGGGCAGTGCCGGCCCATCGGCCGTTCGCCTGGCCAAAGCGGAGTCGACACCGGTCGAAAGCGGCTTAGCGTTGAAATACCAGGACCTTCGAGGTCACAAACAGGTCTGTACCAGGAGTTTCATGGAGTTGGGTGCGGACTCCATGGAGGGTGCCGTCGGGGTGCCCATGATACACATGCACTCACTGGATGGTACCAGCCACACCATCCATGTGTGACAGTGTGACCCCTGGATCATGTTTCTTCCTTCATCCTTGCTAGGACCTAGGAGTGGCACTGAACATCAAGAAGTCGTAACAAGTCTAATTAGCTGAAAGGCTGAAAGGATGGCGAAGTGTAGACCCGTGTGCCCACAGAAACAGGTCTAGTAGCTCTTAGGATGGAAGCAAAGATGACGCCGCAGCAAACGAAACGCCGAAACAGGGTACTCCGATTGGTTCTATATAGTATTTAGGAGATCAAACATGTTCTATTTCTGCAGAAGGGAGGTGAAGCGACTGTGTATCATTGGTTTTTGCTATGCCTTTGTGGAACTGAATAGCAGCAGCCCAAAGGGTTGTTATTGGATGGTAGATCGATGCAAGTGAGGGTCAATCAACCAAACGAAGCGGGTGGTGGGGCTGGTGTCTGCATGTCATTGTGGTCCCAAACCGCTAGCCGCCTCGGCGCGGTTCTTCTGGCGGCAGTCCGAGTCAGCACAAGAAATCAGCATGCCGAAGGTGTAGATGGCATAGCCCTGTGCCTGCGTTTGAGAGGCCAGGCGTTTGATGGCATAGAGGCCATGCCTGTGGAATCATGGCTGTTGCGCTGAATTCGCAGTCAAAGGTACTGCCTTGCTAATATACAAAAGCCGAAAGCCCCCTGTGCCAAAGTTGCCTCACAAAGTCAGCCGAAGCTATCAAACCTGGAGGCGTCCGGGTCTCAAAGTGCATTTCAACTTCAACATTATATCATATCCTATATTCTCAGAAGGTACTTGGACCCTCCAAGCCGAACCTTCTCAAAGGGTATTTGGATGCAAATCATGCATAGTGTCCCTGGTGGCCCTCCGAAGTCATGTGCATTTTCATCCACCTATGCTATGTGCTTGTTTTGGTGGGTTGTGGGACGGGCTAGGGGGGCCAACCATGGTTGTGTACCATGGTAGTGGCAATGTACCAGCAGCAGCCCATGGTTGGTTCGGTCATCTGCGGCGTCGCTGCAGCTGTTTTTCCAATTTTGTGTCCAAACTCCAAAGACAGAACCTGCTGCAACGCCATCGGCCCGGCAGAACCTGCTACATCACAGTACTGTCCGCTGTGACAGGGATCAAAAATCTACACGCAGCATCAAAACACCCTTCTTCTGGTACGTAGTACCAGAGTCTAACCTTTCACAGGCCCTCAAATCGTGACCCTCAAATCGTGGTTCACTGGTTCGATCAATGATTGTGAGGACCCTACCCTTAGGAAGATATCCAGGACCCGGACCATCCAGGACCGTGAGACCATGGTTGAATGGACAGGCACCTGACCTGGAGATCGATGTAAGACAAGCACCGATCGAAGGGAGGATCCAGGATCCGAATCCATGTGCAGCGTCGTTCTGGGGTCAACATGGGTCGACCTGTTCGTAGCTGTTCCATGAGTGCAGTCATTCGGAGTCAGGCCTGTTTTTTTGAATTCGGGAAGGGAAGTCCCAGGAAGTCCCGAGGGAAGTCCGGGAAGGCCGGTCTAGGAAGGGAAATTGATACCGGCCTAGATTGTATACCTGGACCATCAAGGGGTGTTCTGGCTGGAGGTCCCGATAGGTCGTGTAGGGGTTTCCATTCGTGACCCCTTTGAAGGTATATATATATATTATATAGTATATTGACTCATTGACCTTTAACTGTTAAGGCTTACCCTCTGAGTAATTATTGGTGAACTGAGTATGTTAAGGCTTAACACATCTCAAACCATCCAATGATATGGCAAACACTGTATCATACTCAGCATACTCCAGTGCCATGGACAATGGCAAACGCACCGGGCTGGCAATATGCCAAGGACAGCCCTGACAACAATCTGTTCCCATATGTTCCAATAACCACCCGAAGATTTGCATCCTAACATGGTTTCTTTGATTTGCTTTCTTCCGGAGATCCAACCGGGCGATCTCCGGGTACACCCGTTGAACATTGTTGAACTCTTTGTAACACCGAGCGGTTTTGGAGCACCTTCATGAGCTCGAAATCCTCGTCCGTCACGTGGGTGTCTCCGTAGATGATCTGACGGTGAAAGACACTACGATGCTCCGCTGCTCCCCTGGTGCATGGTGCTGCATTCCCTGGTGTTTGCAACACCCTGGCAGCGTGCGAGTTTTGTCTTGGCAAGCCGACGACTGGTCAAACAGAGCCGGGCTCGGTGGACAAGCGGACTGGCAGGACCGGACTTGAGTCGGACTGATTCCTGGGTGGACTTCAATCACAAACTTCAGTTCAAACATATGCACTTCTCTAGGGCTCCAAGTACCTCCTGAGGTTCGGTGGTTGGGGTGGATTAGGAGGATCTAGGTAAGTATCTTCTGAGGAGGAGCTGCGACACCGCAAAGAACACATCAAAAGCCAGCACCACCAAAGGGGTGGTTATTGGGGAGAAAATACAGATTCAGGGGTATATTATATTATAAACAACCCTTTCAGTATCATCTTTCCGTGGTGCTGGAGCAACTGGAAGACTTTTCTTGCTAACTTCCTGCAAAGGTGCTGCAGCTTCTCCACTTCTGTGTCGCGGGACGCATGGAATTGAACAGAACACCAGCCACTCGATCCCGCCACGAAACTTTGTGGGATGCAAAGGCTCCACATGGATCGTTTGAGCCGCAGCCCCGGTGAGTGTTCACTCGAAGACCCAATATGAGTTTTATTTTTCAGGGTGTTTGTCGTTGACACAGCCACTTTGAGACATAGCCACATTCTTCTTTGCTTGGAGCAGCTCCTTGAGGAACTTCACCTCCGAGATCAAGGCATAGTGAGTTGGAGGTGTTCAACTCCGAACCAAACCATCACTGCCAGATTTGATCGCCATTTAGATACACCTTAGATGGCCCAGGAAATATGTTTGTGATATATATATAAGATTATATTAAGTATCTGGTCCCTTCTAGAGGGATTTGCCAAGAACATCATCCCATGTATGCCGGTGTTTCAGTGTGTGTGTGTGTTCCCTTAGCCAATTGAGCATTAAGGTTCGTATATGGCCAAAGATATAGGAATCCAACGTGTATAACCAAAACTAAAACAATTACACACAAATCCCTTGTATAGAGGCTCTAAACAACCACACACACACATTGTTTCCTTTGAATTTCCACAAGGACCTGTAAATTGTAAATACCCAGAAAGACAATGTGCCAAACAAAATATATGAAAAGGTGACAAAGAACTTGGAAACCAGTGTTTTGAGGGAACCAATCGAGTCAAACTGGGGTTTCTAGAAACGTCCACCAATATCTCTTGTATCTCGTGTAAATGACGACTGTACTTGCCTCCCCAACCCATCCACCATTCTCAAATTAACAACACATGGTGGTGTCTTGATGAACTAAACTTGTGAAATAAAAAGCGGTCTCACTTAGGAAAAAGAAAACACAGGGTCTACAAAACCCGTTGCTGTTGCAAGGAGAATCTTCCCATTGGGAGATACAAGTAGGGCCTTAAGGACATGTTTCATTATAATCTGAAAACATAAGTGCTCCTAGGGAGTCCAGTTAGTGGATGGATTTCACAGGGTTGAAGAGCTCAAAGGTTCCGTATATCTACACTGGAGATACTGTTTCCATATTGTTTTTTTTTCACATGGCACATGTTATTATAGACAAGAGTGCCGAAATACAGCTTCACGAAGAAAGGCCTTCAAGCCCTTGTTGTGCTTGTTGGTGATGTAAATATCATAAGCATCGAAGTAGCCGTGCTCCTGTTCCTCCACCACATACCTTGGACTTTGATAGCGAACAAGCAACCCCAGTGAAATGACTAGAACAGGAGGATTCCCCAAGACAAGATGTGGAACTCGGAAACCTCTCTCTGCAATACATCTTGGCAACTCAAACAAGGCAAGCTCTTCTCTAGGGCTCCAACACCTTCCAATGGGACCGGACTGGTGCCAGGAGGGTCCAAATACCTTCTGAAAAGGTCTACCAGGTACCCATAGAAGGACCTTTTCATAGCCTGATAGCTCAAGAACGGCGCTTCCGCTCGGCCATTCCGCTCCCCACCCCAGGTCGATGCCGCGGTCGTTCTCGATGGCAGCTAAGGGACTTCTTCCACGCGTGGTGGCAACCTGTCGAACTCGCTGCACGTGCACCGAGAAAAACCCGGGCCTTCCGGTTCGGACGCCAGGAAAGTATACCCATACACTCCATGGGACTGGAATCATATGCTTATGGACCCCCCAAACCACCCCAACTAATCGGCAGTCCGTCCTGGCAGTCCCAAACAGGTCGTGTCTGGGATACATGGGACGTCATGATGCCATGTCCGTTCATGTACAAGCGAGACGTCGGCTCCGATTCGGTAGAAAACCCTCCCAGGGGGGCCGATTCGGAGAAAAAGGACCACGAATTGGGTCGGCAAGTAGCTAGCTAAACGTCCAAACAGGGAGGAAAACGACTGCCCAGTCAAGCGGAAAGTAAACGTCGTTTTTGGTTCGGGTATCACGTCACCCCGGGGCACCTCTCATCTGATCCCCATCCACCTCTGCAAAGTTCTTCAAATCCAGCCTCGATGCATCGGTGCGTTGTGTGGACAACTGAGAGGTGTATGAGGCGCATTGAGGCGCAAAAAGCCTTCACAGGGGCCAGATCTAAATGGCCTATGCAATGAATGATGGCCCCTAAAATGCAGCGAACCTTTTGTACAAGTGATGGTGTGCAGGTGCAGGTGGCAGTCTCTTGGATCAAGAACGTTTTGTCTCAAGGCCCTTTACAACTTTACAACACATCCTCAGAAAGTGGTTCAGATTCCCCCACCCAGCTTTAGATCAGCTCAAAAGGTCTGTCGCCAAGGGAGCTCAAAGTACTCCGCCGCCAAAGGCATCATCTTCGACTTTCCTGCCGGCGGATTTTTGTGACCTGAACTTGGACCCTAATGGGGTACCTATGGGCATCGCTATTAGGAGCAAGGACGCTACTAGGGGCTCCCGGCATCGCTACTAGGAGCAAGAAGCTAGGGCTCCTGGCCTTGCTAATAGGTACAAGGACGCTACGAACGGAGCAAAGGGCATCGCTACGAACGGAGCGATCGGACGCTATGTTCAACCTTTGTTGGTGAAGCCGAGAAACTCGCTGCCGCCGAGTTTCGCCGTGCAGAATCCGCTGGCGCGGCCCGTGGTGAAAGTGGGAATGTCAAGGGACTACGGTAGTGAATGCGTGTCAAGTACACCCTATAGGGCTCCAACCTCCTGAGGTTCGGTGGCTGGAGTGGGTGCCACGGGTGTAACTACCTTCTGAGGATGTGGTTGTGGTTGGAGCCCTAGGGCCCTAGGGACCTATCGTCAGGGATGAACATTCATAAGACCCTTGGATTATGCGCCATGAGCATGATTCATCTTTGTGAGCCTCAACCCAAGCATCTCCGGATCCGATGATCGTTGAGGTGAAGGTACTCAGCGAAGCAGTGCATTCTCAGTGAATGGTGCAGGACACTCTGAGGAAGGAACTGTTGCTCCCTTGAACTCCATAGTTCAGCGGGGAAGGACACTCAAACCCAGCTGTTTGAGTACTTGACTACAAGCAGCTCTGAAAATGGGTACCAGCCATGAGTCATACTTGTTCTTTCCTTGTGCATGTGTATGTGTTATATATATAGCCCCATTATCTGGTGTAGAAACTGGAGACTCTATAGGGTTTAATCTCAGTTCGTCAGGTGAAGAAGAAACACATCCTTACATCGACATCGAGCTTGGCACCTGCTGCGCTGGGCCCGATGAGGCACAGAATCCTGGGCAGGCCCAACTGGTGTCCGTTGCACTCACAGGTCACCAGCTGTCTTACCCTATGGATCCAAGTACCTTCTCAGAAGGTACTTGGACCCTCCAAACCTGCATAGCGGTGGCTCCAATCACCTGCTGAGAAGGTACTTGGATCCCTAGGGTTATATATTACTATCCCTACAAGTCAAAGACCCAATTATACTGGAGATGGTCATACAAAACCAATACTTAAGGAGGTAAAAGACCAGGTTTTACTGGGTCTTTGGACTTGCAGGGATTATGTTAATTTATATAGTTATATATATTTATATAGTATACCTGGACCAGGGGTGGCTTTTTGATCCCTACGTGAGTGGATGTTGGCACCCCTATCCTTCCTCCTTTTTTATGAAACGTGACTCCAGGGACATCAAACGTCTACCTAGCACTTCCAATGGGTGCCCTGTCTGGAGGCCTGTAAGTAAGGGTGCCCTGTCTGGAGGCCTGTAAGTAAGGGTAGTCTATTGGAGGCCTGTCACGATCCGGTGCTGCGCTCGAGGATCTTTGGTGCTTCGCTCGAACTCACGCAGTCCATCCGCGCCACCTGGAGAGTGTTCGCTTGGGGAACTGAAGGAGCTCCGAGATTGTGGTGCTCGGTGGAGCAAGCAAGCTGGCAGGGGTGATCGGTGAGGAAGCCACGGTCTTTGGAGGCTGTTTTGCACACTTACAAGGTGGATCAACATGGGCATAGTGTAGTATATTGGTTCTTGATTCGGTCATGTCGCAATAAACAACAAATGCCAACCATGAGGACTGGACTTGCTTCTCTTGCAGGTGTAGTTGCCACATTGTGACATATCAAACAGGGACATGTGGTCTCAAAGGGTCGCAGTACCAGTGTTGCCTTCCAAGGATTGAAACATGGCCGACGCTGTAGCTCTCCCAAAACGCCGTCTCTGACTAGGGCAGGCCTACTAGGGAAGCCTCGCCTCTCGGTGCCTCTCCCGGTGCCTCCCGGATCTCTTTCAGTTCCTCTGGGCTCATGTCCTTCACCAGCTCTGTGGCCAGCCATGCTGGAGCTTTACTCCAGCGCCGGCCTGGACAAGCCACGGAGATGCTCAGCGGCGTGGCTGGGAAGCCACGACGGTGGCTAGGCTTAAGCCTGGAGCCACAAGAGTGGCGGAGAAGACATCCTTGATGCCTGATAACCCTGATCACCCTTCAAGAGTGGTTAGATTCAATCAACGTGAGGCGGAGGTTGTGGCCGCTTGTAGGATGGGCCACGTGCTTGATAGACCCGTGTTTTCAAAAACTGGACCCTGCAAACTCCAGAGTCTCACCCGGAACCCTGAAGAAGGTGCTTATTTGATGGTCGTGTTCGGCAAACACACCAGTTCCCATGGACACAAAATGCTCAGTTCCCAAAAACTGCCGACGCGACGCGAAGACCTGTACTTAGACACCTAGGACATGACCCCATAGAACACCTGTACGTGCACTCGTTTTCGGAGGGTATTTTGAGACCGCAGGCCGCAGGTGTAGAAAACAGTCTGATGGTCTAAGGCAAGCGATCTGCAACAAGTCACAACCCAAAGTTCCATGTCGGAGTAGTTATAGGGTACGGCGGACTCTCCACTCACTTCAGCCTCAAAAGCACCCCAACTGTGGGAGGAGTTGATTGGAGTTCCAAATCTTTTGTGGTAAACGACCACAAGGGGAGAATGGTCGCCCCATGTCACCCCTATATGTTTTGTTCCTAGCGAAGTGAGATATCAGAGTTAACTATCGAAACCTGCGACCAACCGAACTCCTCTGTACCGTCTCCCCTCGCTAGGTAGCGACCGAGCCAGCTTCGGCGCCTGGCTGCGCCGTTTGGGTCTCAAAGTCCCAGCGGATGCCCGGACCACAGCGCAGGGTGCTGCGGAGACATCGGAGGGCGGAGAGGTCCATGGCGGCCGGTTCCGGCGGTCCAGAGGTTGGGGTGGGCTGCTGAGCTCGGGTTGGAGGAGCTTGACGGCGGTTTCTTGGAGCGAAAAGGGTTGAGTGGAAGGTATTGCCCTTTAGAGTCTCGCAGTGCTAACGTGTATGGTTTCCTTTGGGAGTTTCTCCGTACGAGTAGAATCCAGTGTGTGAAGCGTTCAGCGTTGGGTTGGAATGTGTTTCGATGGAAGACCTTGGAGTGAATGATGGGGAGGACCTTGGAGGTGAAATTCTTTGATAGGATGCCCGTTCACGCTCCACCCATTCTTCGTGCGGAAGAATCGTGTCCACGCATTTCATGCCCATCCCCATCCCCCATCCGCTTGTTTGGAGCATCTCGGTGATTCATGCTTTGGTCGGAGAGCTGTGTCGGCATGGGTCGGAGAGCTTCGGTTAGATAGCGAGCAACGAGATGATGGCGGCCCGAACGGTGTTGTCGAAGGGAATTCGTGGCGGTGTAGTTTTCGCATGCTGGTGAACTGAATTGTGACTTTCCCGCAACCAGCGATGGAATTGTTAGCAATCGGATGTTGGGATGTTGAACCTCCACAAACCAACTATACCCTGCAAGTCCAAAGATCCAGTAAAACCTGGTCTTTTACCTCCTTAAGTATTGGTTTTGTATGACCATCTCCAGTATAATGAGGTCTTGGACTTGTAGGGAATAGTAACATGGTCCAAGAGTCATGCGCCTTTTTTACGACAGGCTTCAGGACCGGTCCAACGTGAATAAAGGGAAACTCCCTAATCTGGTCCTCCCCAATGATTACCGTCGTACCTAGGTCTTTATGTACTGTATATTTCTTTGTTCAAATGGCCATATATATATATATATTAATTCCATCCATGGTCCGTCTGGCTTTTGAGATGAGCTCTCAGGACCGACTTGGAGGTCGTCTTGTTATCTTCAGCCGCTGAAGAGCCACTTGGCTAAGAAGGCGCGGGCAGTCCGTACACAGCCAGAGGGAGTGAAAGAAATACCTTGCGGTGCAACATGCTCTAAGCAAGTGTGGCTTTTGTGTTGGTAGGCAAACACAAAAGGTTCTGTCAGAAATATCAACATGCAAGTCGAACAAACCCAAACTCAAACTGATAGGAGCCCGAAGAAGAGGAGTTTGAGGGAGTTTCCATCGTTCCAAAGACGGTCAGTGGCATTCAAGGCGAGCAAAATGCCATTCAAGGCTGTGTCGTTCTGACACAACCTCTACGGCCACCTCGTGGGGGCTATTCTGAGCGTCACATGCGATGGTTGGAAGCGCCTTCATGACCCCCCGGACCATGTGTTCAACGATAGAGAGGAACAAAAACACGCCCAGCGTTTTTGCTTGCTTGCTTTGGTGGTACAAGCCGACTACTCTGCGAGGCTGAAAGTCTCCAATATGAGTGTAAAATGCCTAGGGTCACGAAAGGTGAAAACAGAGTTCATTCTGCCAGGACTGTGGGACATGCGACATGACCCAAAACAAAAAACAGTTACTTGCCAGCACCACGGGAGCTCGGATGTTTTTTTTCTTTCTGACACCCCTGACTACACCCGGATGCAGTATTTTCCCTCCGACCACTGCCATACGATACCCCGTTCCCGCAGGCGACCGGACCCGCTTGCATTTCGGTGCAAACAAGTCCAAACTGGTCCAAACCGGTACGTTGTCAGAGTCGAAGGAAGGAACACCACTTGGAGCCGAGTGTTTCATGAACATCGGATGATCCTCCGCTCTTTGGTGAATTGTTCATCTATAGTGGAGCTGAAGGAAACACGTGTGATCACCCGAACCACTTTGTCGGATGATCACATGGTGCAAGGGAGCCACATGGCTTTTCCAATTCTTCAGGTTGATGACAGGATCCACTATGATCCACCACCTGACAGACCTGGTTGGGTACGAAGGTATGGCATCTCGAACACATCACCTTCTCGGAGGGTGGCAGTGGATCCATAGGGAATATCCTGGACCCTCCGGTTCGAACCTTTGAACATGGGACATGACCATAAAAACAGGCAATACATTCTAAGCACCTTAGAGCATGGGCACAGTCGTACCTGCGCTCTTCTTCGGGTCATAGAAACCCGCCGACACCAAGAACTGAGGAACTGGGGTGTCCAAGAAGCACCTATTGAAAAAAAAGACTCCGAGCCATACACTTACCCCATTGATGACCCCAAAGTACGTCACTTACAATGGATGATCTGGGTCCGACTCTTCACCACGCGGAACCGCCGAACGCGCACGCGGCACGCGGAACCGCGCCACTCCAGCTCCCCGGACGGAGAGGCGGAACTCGACTCCGAGCCATGCACCGCGGCGGTGTGAAGACGCGAATGTTTTCGGGGCATCGATGTTGAGGTCCTTTTGCATGCGCACAATGAGGGACCCTCTGAGGTGGATCATCACATAGTTAACTCATAGAGTTACTGAGTATAATTACCCTCTGGTCTTCTCTGGCCACTTTTGTTCATCCTTGCATTCGGTGTTTTTGTTGGTTGTTTTTTCTGTGGTTTTGCGTTGCGTTTGGACGAGCTGAATTGGTACCATGACTGTTGTCTTCATGCAAAGAGCAATATCCCTTGCCAAAGAGTCCCATGAGAGTCGTTCATGTGTTTGAGTGGAACTTACTGTTTGAGTGGAACTGTTCGTGTTATGCATCATTCAAGTGAATGTCCTGCCCAAGCAGCTTCATGAATTCTGTGTTGAATGAATCGGTCGGCTTTCGTGCGCAGGAAGCATGGCCGACCAATGGACCGCCATGGCCCCCGGCCCACCGGACTATGGCCCCGCAGCCCCATGAATTCAGTTTAATTGACATCTATAGATCTATAGATGGACCTGCTGAAGCACCAGGGTCACATGTCGGGGTGGTGTTTAGTCCCATCCAGTGAGTGGGGTGCACCCCGGAGCTCAGAGCACCCCTTTGGAACTACTGGTGGACCTGCCTAAGTACACATGACCCTACAGAGACAGGCCCCAGAAATAGATCGAAACGGTGAATTGAAGGGCCGGGCCTGCATCCCTGAAGCCTTCTTCTCATTCCCCCACCCCCGGCCTCTAGAGTCGTACAAGCGTTGTTCTTCCTTCCATCAACTTACCAACACAAGAAAACACTGACTTACCAAGCAGCCAGTCACATCCTGAGGCAGGTCAAGTGTTTCTTTTTTCTCAGCTGTTCAACATCCACTCCCACTTTGTCTTCTTCAAGGCGGCGACCACTTCCTTCCAATTCTCCTCAGTCGGCCACAACACTTTTGGGGTGACCCAAAAGCCCTCGGCCCATTCGGCCCCCTATCCCCGAATTTCCAACGGACGATTTCACCCTGGAACTCCAATATTTTGCACCACCGAAATGAAGGAAGCCTAGGGCTCCTGGCCCACATGCTCAGAAGGTAGTTGGACAACCACCTTCTCAATATCTTCGGGTCACCTCTTCTTCTGTCTGTGGATTGGTCAACTCCCAGGCGTCATGAACACAGCCAGGAAGTTCCACCTGGCACATGTTGCTCTTCAACGTGCAGTTAGTATTTTTCCCCCAAGAAAGTGGTTTCGCACCAACGTATATTCCTTCCCATGGGTTTAGGGTTCAGGGATATTTTGGGATGCCAGTTCCACGCGCTGCTGAAAAGACACAAACTGAATTTTGTTTAAGCCGTGTTGGAAAGCACCCGAACGTTGCACACGAAACATTAACACACGCCGCCAGGGTTTCCCTCCGTGCTAACGATGCCTAAAGTGGAGCCCTTTGGCCAAAGCTGCCTTCACTGCAACAAGTCATGGCTCGACCAGGGACTTCTTTTGCCTCACGTTCTCCAGTTCTTTTGCCTCCGGTCAGCTTCCTTTCTTCGTCCCCAATGGCCCCCAACGCCGCCTCTGAAAAGAACGGTTGGTCAGTCATCATCGGTTTTTGGGCCGTTTTGACTTCTTTCAACCCTTCCCCCTCCAAGCTTCCACCATGTCTGAGATGTTTCCAGGATGCAGTTTCTGATACCCGGGCCTCAGCTGATGCACTGAACACGGAAAAAGCATCCAAGATATAATGTAAACATTCCTGATCCGTGCTTTTCATACCAGCTGCTTCGAGCAGTCACCTGTCCGGACAAGCCCACACTACTTGTCTGGACAAGCCCGTACTACTTATCCCACTCCATGATGCCATGTATACATATATATATATACTACATATGTATATATACATATACCATCATATACATATACCATATATCATATATATATATGATATATGTTATATTTCCACATCAACTATGGTCTACCGCCCCTGGCCTTTTCTCGCCCAAAATAGACCGGCAGTCCCCGAAAGTCCCTGGCTGCTCGGTCGTTGAAGGACGGTCGTGTCTCCGCGGCGTCGCCGAGTTCGCCGAGTGGCTCCGACTCCGTGGCCGTCTCGCCAGCGACGCTGCAGCCGGTGTCTTTGACCGTCCAGCCGCGGATCTGATCCATCCGGTCCTCAGCATCCCGGGATCCAAAACGGCTGAGGAGACAGGGAATGGTGGGAAGGCAGGGAATGGTGATGGATCTGTTTCACAGGAAGTGACCCGCGGATTCTTTACAGTAAAAGATTGAGAACCATGTTTCACCTTCAATACCTTCAGGGATGCCATTCCCTTTCAATCAGAGTGAAATGCATAGTAGGCATTGCTTGCTGTGTATAGATATCGATGGTAGTAGTGCTTCAGGGGCCATGTCCTTTGCTCATACGGCAGTCCCAGCTCAAAATGTAACTCCAAGTGCATTCCAAGGTGCGGCAAGCTCCTCATAGACCACTTGCAAGACCTACTGTGGCACGCACAAACATGCCTACCCACCCAATTGGGGCTTCACATTGTATCCACCAGTGGCAACTATCAGTGACCCTGATGACCCTGTGAAAAAAATTGACATGACCTCATGACCCTGTGAAAAGACGTGTGATCTTGTCTTTTGTAGAGGCATGTCCCATTTGATAGAGTACTTTGGAGGCTTAACGCTTTATCCTTAGCACCATTCTTTCAGGTGAGTCATGTCAATCGTCGGACGGCTTGACTCGTCCTGTCCGAGCTTCGTCCGTCGGCGCGGCTTGCGGCGGCAAGCGCCTTGGCGCCATTCACCTCTGCGGGTGCTGGTAGTAGCTTTCTTGCTTCCTACTAGCGATGCCCTGGCAGTTCCGTTCCTAGCGTGGCCCTATTGCTCCGTTCGTAGCGATGCCAGCCCCGATCGTAGCTTTCTTTTCCAAGCTCGTCTTTTGAGAAAGGAATTCACGAAGGAATTCACGCTCTGGTTGAGTGGGGGTGCCCTTGCTCCCTCAGTCGATCCAATGAACTGGCGATGCCTCGTGGCCATCGCCCTTGAGCTCTTTGAAGAAAAGCTGCAATTCCTTCACCTGGCAGCTGTGTGCTTGAGTCGTCCACAAGAAAGTCCGTCAGCTCGACTCTTTGGAATGATCCAAACAAAACCCCTTTCACCACGAGAACAATACGAATACTGTGGTTTCCCAAACACCTATGGTGGTGACAGTGTCTACAGTGTCTTTTATGGTATCACCCACAGCTGCGGGTGGGATATGTGTGTGTTCCTCTTCTTTAAGGACGGAGCCCTCCAGGACGAAGGATGAACATAGAACTTGCTTTAGTGGAGAAAAACAACACATTAAAAACACAAAACTGCACCACACTTGCACAAATCTGGACCTAGAGTCCCTCATGTAGTTTTCCTGTTCTGGCACAGAATGGCACAGAATGTACCTTGTTTCGCTTCTTTGGACATGTTGACACGTGTGTTGACTCTGTTTTAACGCGTGTGTTCTCATATTGCATCTGTCACATCACTTCCAAGAAATGCTACAAAGGTGGTACCTTTTGCAATGAGGCCAAAGGATGATTGTTCATGCTCACCAAACAAAAAAACTGGATACAACACATCATGTCTCAGGCTAGAATGGTTCATGATGGAAGGGCTCATGAAAGTGGAGACGTTGAAAGCAAACCACCGACCACCAAAACCAGGAATGATAGTACGCTCTTCCAATAGGGTGCTTTTTTGACCTGAACAGATTTCTGGGAACCAAACTTGTCACCAGGAATGAGACCAAAGGGCTCCAAAGGGTAGCTTCTTCAGTTCATGACCCTTTGAGCGGGCAGAACACCTCTCCGCCTTACCCAATTGGAGATGTGTCTTCTTAGAAGTGTCCGGGTCCCAAGGGTGAAGAGGCAGGCCTCCACTCCACAGTGCTTTCCAAATGCATGTTCCTTGTTCTTCAGTTCGTGACTGAACTTACTCCCCTGCCTTGGTTCGGTCGTAGGCGTTCGGTCACTGGTCGTTTACATAAAGGGACCTCCACATAAGGTCACGCGGGACAAAGCTGCCTGGAGTCTCAAAGTATATATATATATGATAGAAAAATGCACAAATAGACATACAACTACACACAACCTGATTTAATAGTGCCATGTGCCATTTTCTGAGGTACAACCTGCAGGGTCTAGTAGACGGATCTAGGTGGTTGTTCCGCCCCTCTTCGGCTCAGCTTGTGAACAACATGGCCTCACCTCCTCTTCTCGGGCTTTGAGGTCCTTCAACAACTTGGGCACCTCAGCGGCTGGTCACCCTCTACCTGACCCCCGGCGTTCCCTCGATCGATCGGCAAATCCCCTTCTCCGATCCCTTGCCGAAGACGACCGTCCCTTTTCCGACGACTTCTCGGTGCGAATTCTCCATATGGCGATTCAAGGAGGTGAAAGACGACCGTGGAAACGACGGGGACCGTGGAACCGGCCTTGAGAAACCACCTTGGACCTGGCACTCATGTAAGGTACCGTGGAAAGAGCTGATGTGCGCTGCAAGTTCCTAGGGCCCGTGCTTTCTAGACTTGGCAGCAGCTTGAACCTTTGGGAACTTGACTCATCCAAGTTTAAAAGGCTGCGAAGCCACGTGGAACAGGAATCTTCCTTCAGGCCCAACAAGGCTTCTCACTTCTCATGGTCCAACAGAGGTGAGGTTTTGTAGTCTGACTAACTGACTCCCTCAATTGGCCCAGTGGGCCTACTAGGATGTGGAGTGTGTAAAGAGTCTTTCTTCCTGGCATCGCCATCCGCCCTACTTCACCTCTCCCGCTTCTCACCGCTTTCTTCGGCCCCTCCTCGGAACCCAAACGAAAACACCTCGTGGGCGTTCCCGCGGGTCCTTCCGCCTGAGCACCGGGATCGGCACCTTTTCCTTCTTGATGCGTTTGGCCTCGCTCTGGTCCGTGGTGGCCGCCACCAGGAAGCGACGGTTGGACATCATCGACAAGTAGCGCCGGAGCATGTTGTGGCGCTGCAGCCAAATGAGCTTCACCTGCAGTTCAACTTAAGCAACAAGGTGACCCAGAACGAAGGTTGGGCTTTAAACGGTTTGGGCTTGCCTGGTCAAGGGCAAGGGGCAAGGGCAACCCTTGTGGGTCCTTAATCCTCTAGGTATGAGTCGTGTTGCTTTCAACGGGACAAACAAAGTTGCAATGTATGGGTGTCGTGTATTAAAATAGAGGAGACCTCCCAAAGACCCCCTGGAAGAAGGGAACTTGCAAAACCACACATCCATTCATACTTCCGTAAACTGGGCTACTCGACCCTAAGGGACCTTGTCTTCCAAACCTTGCGACCAAGCGAAGATCTGCATCCTGCTGCTTCTGGCTACTTCTTGTCGGCTTTTGTCCAATCCGCAGACCAACTTGCCTTAAGGAAGATCCTTTCCTCATCTGAAACCATCTGCCCAACTACCGTGGACCAAGCACCGCAGCCACACCACCAAGGGCGGAGACCGGTCGACCGGTCCCAGACATCCGCAGGACATCGGGTCCCAGACAGACAAAACAGGTACCTGGAGGAACCAGCTGTTGGATTAAACAGCTTCAGTCGTATCTGTGGGGCCATGGTTCGGGTCATACCAGTATGTGTCATATATCCCATCTTCCATGGGTACGAAGTGGAGGGTCCAGGTACTTGTCATGTATTTTTCAACTGGTGCTGGCTCACGGAAGAATGGACTTGCAAGCCGGGAGCCTAACCTTCCAACGCACTGCCATCACTGGGTACCATTGAAACCAAGACCAAAGGTGAACATGCTTGGATCACCCCAACACCCTCCCCGCGGCACCGCTCAGCACCTACCACTCCGGTTGTCCCGACCTTGTGCCCAGCGATGAAGCTTTTGATCCAGGGCAGATCTTGAAGGAAGCCTTGACTCACCTTCCTGGGCACTGAACGTGAAGAATCAGGGGCCGAGCTATAGCAGGCCCGAGCAGATTCAAGCTGAATGGGATCTACACATCTCCTGAACTCGGATTGCGGGTGAAGCCTGCTAGTCTACACAGCTAAGCACCGCCCCCCAAAGCACCAAGAGCACCTCTCTGAACAACTCACCAAACTGAAAGAAGAAAGCGTCATCGTCATTACCCTTCTCAGGTGCGTCATCGTCATTTTGCCTGTGCGAGAAAGCTCAAAAGATTGCCAAACAAGGCCTCAACTTGGAGGAAGCAAAAGGTGTCCCATCTCCAAACGAAGCACAAAACCGGCCGTGGATGTGAGGGAAATTGAAACCGAAGCCTCACTGTCTTCCCCAAATTGGTGAGTTTGGTGGAACTTGACACAAGGAAAAATCCACGACCGGGGAACCCCTGTATTAATGATGTTTCACTGAACATCAACTAGGCAAGCATCCCCAAACAATCAGCTTTCATGGACAGAAACTTTCACATGAGTTGATTTCTATATTGACCTGCCAAGCGGCCAGTTAAATCCACGGATGAACTTTCCAGCGGCTAGGGCCTCATGGCAGGTGTGTCTCATCTTCAAGGCCAAGTGCCTCGAGTCTAAGTTCGTACCGTGGAAAATAAGTATATATGAGTCATACCTGTTTCTATAGGGTCGTGTCCATATTCCTATTTGTCAATCAAGGTACCAACTTCCAACACTCTTTGGATGATCTTTTAATTGATGCAACAAATTGATTCTATTCAATTCTATTCAATATAACTATCATAGAACTACATTTAAACTTGATCTAAACAAAATAGAAAATAAACCAACACACTCTAAATAATATTGTAGATAAATAACCATTAAAAAAACATACATATAATGTATACTATATTATATATGGTACTCTCTGCTCGGAAGGTCCTTGGATGTCCTTGGGTCCGAAGTAGTGACTATTCTGGACTTGGGTCTGCATGGTGTCACCGACTTCTTCCTGATCTTCCTGGAGCAAAGAACGCAAGTTCAAAATGAGGGGCGGCCCCTTTCAACAGCTGGAAACACCTCTAAACATTCAAACATGTGTCTCAAACTGCTGCGGCCCCGGCGCCTTCGCGGCTTCTGTGGCCCACTGGCCACTCACCGCTGGCAGCTCCAGTGTGGCCTCCTGGGAGCAGAGCAGCTCGAACGGGTTCGAGGACCCTCTGAGGGCTCGGACCCTTGAGCGCCTCGGGCTTCGCCGCTTCGCCCTATCTGGGCACGTTCCCCATCGATCATTGAAGGGGTCTCATAGGGTGTAATCTCTGTGGCAAGTCCAGTGACCAGAGTGATTCGGGATTCACCAGCCACCGCATGAAAGAAGCAACGGACCAACGAAGCAACCAATGAACCAACCAACACTGTTGATTCAAAAGCCGACTTAATGGCCTTTACCCAACAACATCCAACAACCACTACAAAACAAGCTACGGAAGGCTAGGGAACCAACGAACACCAAATCGACAGATCCTACCATCAAGACACTCCCAGTCTTGTCTTTACCTGTTTCCGGGGTCACCTGTCACCACAGGCATCCCGGCCTATGTCCACAAACATGACGTCGTTGAACACTTTCTTCGTATCTGTTCTACAACTTCAAACAAATCGACTGTCTGCAACCACAAACAAATAACTGTCTGCAACTGTCTGCATGGCCCAGTTGACGACTCGTGCAGGCACGACTTCTGTGGACTTCCATTAATGAGTCCAGTATACTTCCATTTGAATCGTAAACTGTCTCACAAAAGGTGATTGTTCATTCCCCCATGGTGGGGGACATAACGACCCCTACACTACTTATACCAAATAGAACTTCTCGCATGTCTAGGGTCTTCCAGTCTTCCATAACAGTCATCACGGGTGATCGTTGTTTTTCGTCCTTTTCATTTTACATGTGAATGTGAATACTAATTTCTTACATGGAGATTCTTATACTCTCTCACCTGGAGTCGACCTGTTCAGATCAGAAAACGGGTTTAGTTGTATTATCTGTTTTGTTAGATTCATATGTCATTTTCTAGGATACTTTGGAGCGTCATAGGTCTCCATTGGACACCCCTTGGAAGCACTAGGTAGTTGGTCCAACCAACAAAACCAGCAGTTGACCAGTTTCCTCGCTCAAAACTGCTGCCATAGGATGTGCTGTGTCTGGCGCCGGATCACCCGTTTTTCTGTTCCCCAACGGGGCAGAAAGAAGCCGCGAGCCGCACAAACACACTTTCCACATCTTTCCACCAAGGCCGAGCAGATCACCCGCGAGCCTCCGGCGTTAAGGAGATGTTGTAAAAGGTCTTGATGCCAGCGCGTCGCTTCTGCGGCGACCACCAGTCTTCCTTAAGCCCAGGAGCCAATAGGATCTCCTTAGGTGAATCAGGGACGAGGTTTCCGCGGTGGGTTGGTAGAGGACGTGAGACGAAGCAGCGGCTTTTTGGGGCACCTCTTGAGGCTTTGAGGTCAAAAGTATCAATGTAAAAGATCTTCCAAACTCGTTGGAGCCAAAGAACAGCCTCAATTTGGCTCCTGTTCAAAGACGCTTTTAGTCTGTCGCTTTCTGCTTTCTGCCCAATCCACCCAAAAAGCTTAGCACCACGTGCCGCGCTTTCGGGCGTTTTCTAGATGCATCGCGCGGAAAACGAAGCGTGACGTTCACATAAGGAAAGAAGCTCCAGCCACGTAGATGCAGGGATGGCGACTGAGTTCCTGCCACATTGTGGCGGACAGATGGCCACAGTTTGTCGCGCCAAGGGCCCTTTTTCTCGCTCTGTCTCACCCCAAGGGGTTTACAACAGCTGCAGGTCTGAAGAGGAGGTCAGTCTAGCGGCAGATCTGAGGAGTTACCTCTGTTTTGGAGGATCAATAGAATACATGGCCCTTTCCTATCAAAACGGAGGTCATGCTTGGGTTCTAGACAAATGTTGAATTGAACAGCCCCTGGCCCCTTGCAGTTTCAAATTTAAGATTGTAGCGAGACGATGATCTGGGTGCAATCAGCGTGTCAGAAATTCCAAGAAAACCATGAGGATTCTGTGGTCCCGCTTGAGCTATATAAATAAGTATTCATAGGATGTTGACCACCCATGCTGGTTTGAAGCTGGGAACTTCGAATCACCAACACTACCCCACCATCCTGCGCCCGAACATGTTTCAACACCCTAGACCTTCTGAGACACTCCAATTCGTCATGGCACAAACCCAACAGTCGCCAATTCGCAAGAACATATGCGAACCTGGAGAGTGAAAGTTGGTGGCACGATCCTCTCATCCGCCGCATTTGACCAATCCTCCCCGTACCTGGGTGAGCCAGTGTGTGCCGGATCGCTGGAATGCGAGCCTCAGATGAAGCGATCAGATCCATGTGTGGTTGTTGGTCTTGGACCAGTTGCAGAACCCTCATGTTCCGTTGCACTGGTGGTTCAGGAACTCCTGCCTGACAGATTCGCCCGAAACTGGCCCCTTAGACTTCGGAGACAAGACTGAAACATGTCACACTTAGAATTTACAAGATGCTGACCCCTCCAGCCGTTGACCCCCATGTCCTGCGAAAGGAGGGAAGATTCTGGGAAGATCGCAGTGGAATGATTGATGTTGAATGATTACCTGAATCCGTCCAGACGTATTGTTCAAACATGTTCAACAAAAAGAAGTTACAACTACAGCACACATCACACCCACACAACGGAGAATTCATAACCTCTGGGCCGCCTCTGGGCTGTATACAGTTACGGGATGTTACGGGATACCACCCAAATATATGCAAAGCTGTTTGTTGAAAACAAAAGTCACTTAGTTCCCCACTTTTTCACTTTGCGCGCATGCTGCAGCAGTTTGCACCCATTCTGCCGCGCTCCACCTTGTGCCCCAAAACACCAAACATTGTAACAAATCACACGGAAATTTCAGTGTTCAATATCGCACCAGAACCCTTCAAAGCCCCAAATGCAACCAAAGTCCAAAAAGTGCTACAAACCCTGGAAGTGCTACGGTTCAGTTCAGGCCTTGACTAGTAAGTCAGCCACTATATAAGCCAGAATGCTTTGTAGATTTGCCCAGTAGTAGTAGTAGTAGTAGTAGTAGTAGTAGTAGTAGTTGTTGTTGTTGTTGTTGTTGTTGGTCGTGGTCGTGGTCGTGGACGTGGTCGTAGTGGTCGTGGTCGTGGTCGTGGTAGTGGTAGTGGTAGTGGTAGTAGTAGTCGTCGTGGTGGTGGTGATGGTGGTGGCACTGGAACAAATCAGCCTCAAAATCACCTACTCGTGGCATTGATTCCTGTCCCATAAGCTTAAGTCTATGCGTGGGTGAGCCGCTAGGTCAACAAAACATTTGTTCAATCAAGCGAATAGGGATTTTCCTATCCGGTGCCCCAATTGACCCTCGTGTATCATGGGTGTACCGTACTGTCCGCTCGGGTATGTTGGAGGGTCCGAAACTCGGAGTTACTTGTATACGCCCTGGGAGTCAAAGACTATAAAAAGAATGGTCTGACTAGGGGACCTGAAAGGGAACTTCCTTTACTTCAGCCAATCAACATATAGTCTTTGGACTTCTAGGGTACGTACAAGATACAAAGTCTTCGACTACAGGTACCGAACTTCCAAGCCTTGCAGCGAGCCTTCCACCTGTCGACAGGCCTGTTCACCCGCGGACGGACCGAGCCGCAAGATGATCCACGTCTCCGGCGCCCGGGCTTCACCGGACCGGTCCAGTCGCGTGGTGGGTGCCTCACCGGCGGTTCGATGGGGACGGTGGTTGTTCCGATGCAGGTGTACCGTGTACTTAAGTGTTCTGTTGTCAAAGGACCATGTGCCATGTTCTAGGGTACTTTTGGAGGCAAATCCAGTTGAACGAGGTACTTAAGTGCTTGACCCGGTCAATTTGGATCATGCGCACAAACATGATTGCTGCCACAGGCGGCTGTGGATTCCAACGGGTGTCTTCAGGGGGACTGGAAACCAAGCGTCGTAAAAACAAAATGGGAGGGGTGAACAGAGTGAAGCCTGCAATCCTATTTGCCGAAAGCCCTGGCATGACGATGCCCATTGGTAATGCCGATTGCGGAAGATCAGTATATATTTGTAGTGCCTGTAGTGCTGTGGATCCTTGGCCTTCCTCCGCAGACACACACAGACTGTGAAAGCACTTCGGAACATGAGTACAGTAGTATCTGTATTTAAAAAAAATAGGGTCAGGTCATGGTCATGTCCAATTTTCTAAGGTACTTGAAGGCGGGTCCAGGGAGAACAGGATGTTTGCTAGTCAACATCCTCGCCAGGTACCAGGGACAAAACGCAACATGCTCTATGGCTCCTATCGAGGGTGGTGTGTTCCACACAGCCTGATGTAGGGGATTTCGTGAGGGTGCAGAAGGCATGTGGGTCCCTACCGTGAAGCCCAAACAGCGAGAATCAAAAGGTTGTTCGAATATAGCATTTGAGATCCTTGACATACTTGAATTGCATATACTTAGCTGACTTAGCTAAGTCTTAGAAGTCAAAGCTAACTCAAACGCTAAACACTATAGGATTTAGCTTTGACTTAGCTAACCTGACTAAACTCTACAATATCTACAATAGTTGGTAAGTCGACTCTAAGTTTGACCTAACATCCATATAGTCATTTAGAGGTCATGGAAGTTATAAATAGAACCAAGGTTAGAGGCTAATATAGAAGTTAATAAGACAGTTTAATGAGAGTGATAATTTGGGTGATAACTTTGGCAAGGGAACGTGCAAGTAGGAAGTTGGGTAAACCTCCAGAACGCCCCGAGGGCGGCGTTTCGTCCATGGCGCTGTCAGCACCTCTTCGGGCGTCTCGTCCAGTGCATCAGGTCCATTGGGCCAGTCCTCCCGGTGAGCCTGACCGATCGAGTAAGGTTTCTTTTGGGGGGAGGCTGGGGAGGTCTCACTTCCATGTATGACTTTTTTTGGAACGCTTCAATGCACCATGCATGGATAGATATATATATTAATATATTAGTATTATATATATATATTGATTTAGTAACATCATAATATGTATATACCTGGACCCTCCAGGTTGTACCTTAGAAACTCTTTGAAAATTGCACATACCCCCAAAACAGGTACTTGGTGGTACGACTGTACCCACGTCCAGTCCAAGTCATATTGTATATTTATGTGACCATTTCACCTTGGATTTGCATAAGGAAAGTTGCACAAAAGAAAACAGATTCCCCAGAAGGTGATTTACCCAAGCGGAGATCAAACAGCTACCACCACATCCTGGGCGTTTTGAGGTTCCACCTCAGCGCTCGCGTCGCACATCGACTGCATCCCCACACCCTACGACGGTGTGGGTGAAAGGGGCACCCCTTGAAGGGCACCCAACCACCACTATGGGCGTTTGAGAAGAACACAGGACGATGGTGCGAAGCTTTGGCTAAAAGTTGGGTCCACATTTGGGGAGCTTGGAAAGCTCCCAGGCCGAAGTGTCCCCTGAAGGAGGGCCCTTCCAGTTCGCTGCGCGAGATCGTCCGTACGTGATTGGTTAATATTGGTTGGAGGCCACTCCCCACAGCATGAAAACCCCTTTCTTACGTTTCTTATAGGTTTCTGCTGTTGGACACTAAGCTCATCTAAGCTTGGCCTGCTAGGTCGTTGAATCCATCTTTTTCCACGGCCTGCAACTGCCGCAGATTGGACACCACAGTCAGAAAGGCCGCCAGTCCCGTAAAGCCAAGGACCAAGCGAAAGGCACTGCACTTCATGGCGCTCAACCGTCACCGCCGTCACCCACCAAGAGATGATTTTTTGAGACCTGAACTGCGACCCGAAGAGCTGTGGTACATGGCGAAAAAAGGCGGTTCAACCTCTCGGTGGGCTGCTAATGCGGACGATGGCGGGGAGTACGTGGTTGGCCCAGGTTGCGTCTGGAGTTGGTACTGGGGTTGGTGCATGCCAATTGGGCTGGAATTTTGAGGGTGGGGTGGCTGAGAAGGGGGGTCGGGAATCTTCCCTTCAACTGCTACTATTCCTGCAAATTGCCCTCTTGAATGCACTGAACTACACCAAACTGAAATGACAAAAACCTGGTTGTTTAGTCCGCAAATGTTTCGATGTGTTTCGCCGCTAGTCCGACGGTATGCCATCGAAGGCGTCTTTTCTGGGCCCCTTTTCCTTCACTCAGCTTCACAGTACGCAAGTGTCTTTGCCTCACTCGAGTCAAAAACAGAAGAATAGTTCACACCTTGTTGCATGAATATGGGGTATACGCTGATGATGGTTAGTAAAGAAACAACTGTTAGACCAACTGTTAGAGGGAGCAGGACAAACCAACTGTTAGAGGGAGCAGAGCCGCACACGCGGCTACAACGCTCTGTTTTTTCTTTTCTTGTTTTCGCAGCAAAGCAACACCGAGAGGGGAGGGGGGGCGTGCATGTCCGCATGTCGTTGAGTTGGTTTCTTGAGTCTGGAAGCGCTGCGGAAGTCGATTCTTTCAGCACCTCGTTGCTCGACCCAGGTTCATTTGCAGAAGTCTCCATCTTTGGTTGATTGGATGCTCAGTCCTTGATCTGTGCTCAGTCCCTTGATCTGATGTTTTCGAGCTCGAAGGATTCTTTGAAGAAAGCTGACCCATGGATGGCAGCTGAGCACTCACAGCACGAGGAGACGCCGATCTCGGCCTTCTTCATGCTTTGTGAGGGATATGTGATATGCAGTTCTTTCAGTCTGGTAAGGAGTTCCTCCAATCAGAACGTCCAGGAGTCCACTCGAGACCACACCGATGCCGGTTGCAACATGGGAGACTGAACCGCTGACCTGCTTGGATCTCGATCTATGTCTCTCCCTATTCACTGCACACCAATGAATTCCCCATCCAGCATCCATATTTACCTGCATTGGGGTGGCTGACCTGGGGTCAATGTAGGCATATGTTCCAGTCCCATGGATGGTCTGGGATGGGAAGCAGCATACCAAAAACACTCCACTGAACTGGCATCTTTAAACCTACATTGGGGCGGGTTTGGGGTCAGTCAATCCGAGTTCTATGGCTCATGCCTAGGATGCATAGCGTAAAGATTAAAAAAAATAACAAACACCGCGAACTGGAAACGCGAGAGCCCCACTGCCAGGGGTGTTGAATGGACACCCCTTAGGGACACCCCAAATGGGGGGCTTTCCAAACGCAGGAATCTCATGTCCACGTCGACTGTCGAGCCCGCCAGTGTAACCCAGCGAAGGGTTCCGGTGGGTGAGAGTGTGGCCAGGGATACGCCTGGGTGGGCCGCTGAGGGGCCACTCCAACCCGGTGTTTCTGAAGTGAAGGTACTTGAAACCACCCTTAGTACCAAAATGGGACATGACTCACATGAGAATTACATGAGCGATCATGAGCGTATTCAGTCAGGTACGACTGGGGTCTCCAATAGGTGGCCAGCTGACCCCCAAGCCGTTTCCCTGGAAAGTATCGGTCGACCGAACTGTTCACCCGTTGGATTTGAGTGGGAAAACCCACTAACGGCTTTTTAGATGATCCACCTTTCCCCTAGGGATCCAGTCGTACCTTCTCAGGTTCGGTACGACTGGACCCTCCAAACCTGCATAACAGTGTATCCTTCCTCACCGTACCTGAGAAGGTATGACTAGATCCCTAGGGTTCTTGGGCAATTATGCACATGATATCACATTGAGCGTATTTCATCGGGTCAAACCCTATACCCTTTCTTCCCCAGGCACGAACTGGTGGACAGTGAACACACGCCCTGACACGCCATGATGCCCCTCAACCCCATCCTTTGATCTCTTCCGCGGGCCGCGCGCTCCGCTACCCCCAGAGGCCCGGTGCAAGGGATCCCTCGGGCAGAGGCCCGGTGCAAGGGATCCATCCGGGGATCGACTGCAGAACAGAGTCGACTGCGGTGTTCGACGTACTACTGATCGAAATTGCCGATATGATCGGCTTGATCTAGGCATATCTGAGAGTACTGGGCAAAGACCTGGAGTCTCAGTTCGTGGGAAAATGGGGGCCCGCTCATACCTGTTGGTTGTTCAGGTCCTATTTTCCAAGGTACAAACTGGAGGGTCTAAAGAAATGCAAATTGTCCGAGCCTCATGTGGTCAAAGCAGTTATAGACTACGTATAAGCAATGCCCAGCTCATGAACCTAACAGAGGTGTTGATACAGGCCCATCCATCCCGCGTGTAAAGTCTAAACATGAATGAACATCCTCTCCTCAATGATTCTCTAGCTTTTGATTCACAAGTTTAGACACATTTAGGGTGATGTGCCATGACTTGATGCCTTGAAAGCAAAGGACACCTATCTTTGAGTTCTAACCTGAGTGACCAGTGACACGTGTTCTTGTCGCAACCACCCAAAACCTGGCCTTGGCCTGAAACAAGGATTCCTTTTTGTGGCTTCGGAATGGGGACTACTACTGCACTGCTGCTGCTACTACTGCTACCATCACTTCTTCTTCTTCTTCTTATTCTTATTCTTCTTTTTCTTCTTCTTCTTCTTCTCCTTCATCTTGGCTCCTTGCACCTGTACTGCCTGAGCCCCAAAACCTGCCAGGGAAGTAACAACTTCGCCAACCCCCTGTTGCGACTCGTGTTCTGACTTCCGCCAGCGCCTGTCTTTGTACAAAAGCCCCCGCCTCCTCCGGGCACGTCGAGCGTCCCACTTTGTGCCAGGCACAAGAACCAGGGCCGCTCTGAAGCCCACTGGAAGAAGCCGTACTTTTTCAGCAGCTGGCCACAAATCTCACAGGTGGCGTGAGTAGAATCGATGGTAGAATCGTCGTCAAAACCAGGGCCGCTCTGCTTCACCCTGGGAGGTTCACCATGTCTGAGACCATGTTCTGTGGGAAAAAGAACACAGGGTCCTCCAGTTGGACCCACATCCATATTTACCCTTTCTTTACATATCTAATATGTCAATTGCAGGAAGTTGATTTACCCATAGTAAACATAAACAATCACCTTCATTCAGCAAAACCCGGTATTTGCTCTAGCTGTTACCAGCTTCTTCAAAGTCACCTCATTGGAGTCCCTCAGGCCGCCTCAGGCCCCAGTTCCTTATGCTATGTTTGTCTCCACAGCTCCGACACGGGGCACGTCACAAGATGTTTGGCCTATGATCACAGGATCTTCACAGGATGTTTGGCCCGGCTTTGCGCGCAGAACACCTTACAACACCTGTGCTTCCCGTCACAACTGACGCATCATTTGGGCGGTGTCCTGTCATGATCTGTCATCCGAGCTGTTCCAACTCCACCCATGAAAGCCTCACCTGGTAGACTCACCTGGTCGTCGCCTCAGCACTGAAGCATGCGGCATCAACCAAAGAGATGGATCTTGGTTCGGTGGAATGCAAGACATGGGTGGCTTTCAGTTCTTTGAATGTTCTTAAAACTGGTGTGTGGGGACAATGCAACATATAATATAAAAAAACACACTAGAAACATTGGTTCATGTTGTTCACTTCTCATGTGCCTGTAGGGTGGGTTCGATTGCTTGAATACCACCAAATGGGCTCTATACCTCAGCAATGCATGGCTCAATATCGATTGGTATTGAAGACAAAAGCAAACCAGTCAGTTCTGGCAGTGGATGTTCAACGGAACGGAACACCACGAGACTTTGAAAACAACAGGGACTATTGAATAGCTGCAAGCTTCTTCATGTAGTGCATCCTTCTCGGCTGGTTCTGAAAACGCTGATGTTCCCCTGAATGAGGGTGGTCTGTTTCGGACAGTTTCTGAAAGAGTTGTAAAATGCTGGCCGTGCAACAGCAATTCAAGAACCAGCCAAATTGGTCGTTCAAAACTTTCTGAGTTTGGTGGGCTTCGTGAGATATCCATATGATAACAAAGTCTGTCTGTCCTCTGGTATCTGGTGTTGCTTGAACCTCAAATTGTGCTTAAATACATGTAAATACCCGGAACCTGAGTGACAGCCGTTTCGGCCTATTTCAGAGTGCCAAGCAAAAAGCAACTAACACTGCCTGGCTCAGCCATTTGGGCACTGGGAAAAGGATGCCTACACCAGGCGCATTCCGCACGTCCGCTGAGCCAGGCGCAGGTCATCCCAGATGTTCTCGTAGACGTGAGGCCAACGACACCACCTGAGGCTCGCAGACATTCGTTTGCAGCCTGCCGTCAGATTCGATGGGAGTCCAGTTTTTGGAGTCGACCATGTGAAAGCACCTGTTTTGCGTTCGGAGTATCGTAGCTGTTCTTGGATCGTGTCATGTCCCATTTTCTAGGGTACCGAGACGTCGGGGTCTAGGTATGTTCACCAAGTTCGGTTTGTTGACCTTGAAATGAGGCTTGATGTGATTTGATGCGTCATAGCTCCTGGATTAAATCCGATACAAACTCCTAGTTTGATACCACAGTTTGATACCACAGTTGCGCTTGATGGTGCAGGCTTTGGAATAGCTTGGTGTCTCAGCTCCAACTCTCTTTCCTCCAAACAAGAATACGGTCAACATCTGTGCAAATCTAAACTCAAGTGAGTGGAACATATGCCAACTCCTACCACCTCCAGAAACCACCCCTTCCAGTACCCAAAACTTCGGGGTGGTGATTCAAGACCCGAAAATCACCTCAGACCTTTGGGGGCTATGGATCGCTGCTGACGATCCAAGGAACCACCAGGACTCTGGACTAGACATCGCTATTAACTCTAAGCCTAATATAGGGGCTAAGGCCCACTCTTCGTTTAATAGGCATTTTGCCAAACCACCACTACCTTACTAAGGATCTAGCTAACGATGTTTTCCTATACCAAGCCCGGTCAACCATTTGTTTAAGGGTCTTGGAAGTCTAAT